AAATTCATCTGTGCACACAAGGTTAACCTCAACATTCCTCTAACAAACCTTTTCTGCACTCACAGGATATGCCAGGTGCTAACTGAAGACAATTCCCTCTCCTTTTTTCTCCCTAGAAAAAGCTGTCAACACAGAGGATTGGTCTGTAACTACTTTATAACTAACGTCCTATGCTAATTGAGTACAACAGTTACATGGCTGTTTGTGGAATCAAGTGTAGATTCAGTGCTATCACATTTAGGAAGATCTGGTTTTCATGGCTCAGTGGTGGTAAACATTAGTTTGAAAATGTGATCACTCTGAAATGACCAAGTCCCATTCAGCTACAGAAAAGTGAGGGTTCTGTGGTTTTATGTTAGTTACCTTTTAGTTACTGTGTAATTAGTGCCAGTTTAAATGTACGTTACCAAAAATAAATCTATTTACCCCAGCTTAGATGTAGTATTGTTTGTATAATTGGATTTCCTAATACTGTTACTTGTAACCTCTGTGTTAAGGTGTTCTGGGTTTTTTAACAAACTGTATTTGAAAATAAAGTCCTATGGAAAGCAGCTGATCCTCTTCCCCTGTTCATTTGTAAGAGTCTGACCCATGTGAATGGTTTGAGTGATCTGCACACGCAGGAGGAGTTTTTTCCATGATGTGCCATAGGGATGAGTAAAGACATCCTGCTCACACTCAAAGCTTCTGAACTGTTCAGCTGCCTTAAGTGCATTGCCAGACCCAGTTTCAAAACTAAAAAAACAAACAACAAATGAAACTTTTTGTGTAAGGTTTGTTACCACGTAGTGATCAGACTCCTAACCTGTGAACTTCTTGCTGTTCTGCAGCCAACTAAACTCTTTCTGTATTTTCATTTTCCCAACAACTAATAGAATAAAGGCAGTTTTCTAAGCTCCCTGTATCGGTGTCTGTATTCCTCACTCCGGGTTTCTGGCCCAGCATCTGACAGCCTCAAGCAGAAGTACCATTTTTTATACAGCTGTGATAGGATTCCCTTAGCCATTACAAGTGCTTTAATATTTGTTTTTTTGTTTCCTAGCAAGTGATGCTCACCTATTGCTCACAGCCACTCCCAAATGTAGGAGCACAGCAGAGGTGGAATCCTTCGCCCTGCCTGGCTTCTGTAGTGAGTGGCAAAGCTTCCCAGGAGCTGCTTTTGATACTCAAACCAGACCCCAGCGCAGTGACTGAGTTGCATTTGTCTGTATAGAGCATGGGAGTTGACAAGCAGGAGGAGGCTGTGCAGGGAGGAGCTGCAGAAGCACATGGTGGTTGGTCTGTGCTGCCATGTACCCTGTGTGCTGCACTGGAGCATGTGTGAGGTGCTGTGCTTGGCAGCACATTCGCCACACTGCTTTCATGAGGGACACCTTCAAGTGCTGCAGCAAAGGATGGGCTTGAGGTACTGGCCTGTTTGTGGGCAAGCAGATAGTGCTGCTCCTGTGTGAGTTCCCCCTGTTCCTCCATGTAGCATGCTCCTCTATGCCTGCACTGGTATTTACAGCAGCTGCTGCTGAGCTGAGCCTCTGCCTGCTTGGCTGAGCAGTGGGGAGTCCAGTTGCTCATGACAATCCAGGTAAGTGAGGACCTCACTGTGTCCAATTAATGGCCTCAAAATGCCAGTGTCACTCCGTTTTGGTTTTTTTTTGTAGTTTTTTTTTGTTTGGTTTTTTTTTTTTTTTTTTTGTGGGTTTTTTTTTCGGGGGGGTGGGGTTTTTTGTGGGCGTTTCTTTGACAGTGTTACCAATTCCTATTCCTGCAACAATGAAGAAGCCACCTCAGCCATGGGAATGCCCTGTACCTCTGGTCCTTGCCCTCCCTCTACAGCCATGGACACCAGTGACCTGTGTGACCAGCTCAGCGGTGGCACCCAGCCACTCATCCTTCCTTTTTCCTCTCCTGGGTGCATTTTCCACCACTGCCGGCTGGTGGTGTTGAGCAAAGAAGGAAGGTCCCAGCTGGGGGCTGTCCGGAAGGACTTCACCCTGTGCCTGGCAGTCGCTGCTCTGCAGTTCCCTTTTCTTGTGGGGTGTTGCAGTTGAGCAAAACTGAGGTTTTTTCAGTCTTGCAGAGCTGCAGGGTTGCAGTTCTCCCTGGTCACAGTTACAGAGCAGCTCCTCCAGCTGCTCTTTGGGGGTTCTGAGTAAGGTGTGCATGTTATTCAGACCCAGCTCACGGGCTATGTCTGCTGATGCGCTTCCAAGTAATTAATTTGTTGCCCCAGTTTTAATCTAAACTCGTTACCTGTCCTGGGTTCAGCAGTAGCAGTCATTTTTCTCCTTCTTGGTAGCTGGTGCAGTGCTGTGTTTTGACTTTCGGCCTGGGAACAGAGCTGATAACAACGATGTTTTGGTTTGGCCAAGGACTTTGTGAGCCTCATGCTCTGCCAGGGAGGAGGGGAAGCCGGGAGGAAACAGAGACAGGACACCTGACCCAAACTGACCAAAGAGGTATTCCATACCACAGCACGTCATGCTCAGGATGTAACTGAGATCAACCCAGAAGGGCTGGGACTGCAGGGTTGGAGGAGGTATTGGTCAGTGCTTGGTCGGGCTGGGGGGGCGAGTTACTGGTCGGCTGGCGATGAGATGTTGTATTCTCTTCCCTTGTTATTTCCTTTATCATTACTATTATTGGTGGTAGCAGTAGTGATTTGTGTTATACCTTAGTTACTGAACTGTTCTTATCTCAACCCGTGGGAGTTGCATTCTTTTGATTCTCCTCTCCATCCCTCCAGGAGTAGGGGGAGGGAAAGAAGGGGGGAGAGTGAGTGAATGAGCTGGGTTTAAACCACGACATTACCCTACAGCACCACCTCCCCATCTTCTCCATGTTGGCTACCTGCTGGTGTTGGGTGTCCAGCCCTGGCTGGCTTTTCTCTGAGTTCAGACATGTTAAGTCTGTCTCTCCTATTTATGACCAGAAGCTCCAGCCCACTTTGTCCCTCACAACACTGGTATCGGAGCGGGAGCCTGCTTAAGATCAGGTTGTGAAGTTGTCAGTCCTTCTCTGCCTTCCTGGCTTCAAGGGCTGGTGGCCTGGCTCCTTTTGGGTTCCTGCCACGTCTGTTGCCTCTGGAAGCCACTTGTGTTGTCATGGAACTGAGCTAAACACAGAGGTCCAGACCAGACATGAGAAATGGGAGTTCAGTGCTTATGGAGAGTGACCTAGTCAGGCAAGGAGCTGTGAGAAGGGCAGGGGAAATGCTGGGAGTCAAAAGGCAGTCCTTGGCTAGGGGACGGTTTGGTGCCAGGGGTGTGGAGAAGATGCAAGAGGAGGCCAGGAAGTGTGGTTTTGCAGCCTTTGCAATTACTGGTGTTGCTGTTAAACAGTGGTGTTCTGACCTCCTAGATGCCACCTGTCACACATCTCAAAAGGGGTCCCTTGAAGCCACCTAGTCCCTCAGGAGCTCCTGGCTCTGCTGGATCCCAGTCCAGCTGGCTCAGCAGAACATGTCCAGGCACAGGGTGTAGCTATGAGCCAGCAAGAAAGTTCAGCTCACTTGGGTTCCTTATACCTGGCTCACAAAGGAAGGGAAAGCCCTAACCTATGCTTGTCTGAATCAGGGAGGGCCACAGAAGTAAACTCCCTACTCCAGACGAAGCCCCAGGCCCAGCCCAAGGACTGACAGTGCCAGTCTGTGCAAGTGCCAGAAGTGGCAGCAAGGTGATGCCTCTGGGGCACCCCAAAGAGAAATTCCTCTTCTTCAAGCCACTGTGGCTTGCTGTGCCCACGGGGTGGGTGAGGAGGCTGGCTGGACTGTAACTGTCAGGCTACTGGGCAGCAAATGAGGGTCACGCACCTCTGCTCCTCCCAACAGCCATTTCCTAGCTGCTCCCATTTCTCAGGGCACTTGTCACGGTTCCTGCTACTGGCACTGCAACACACCACAGAAATTGTAGGTTCACAAGGGTGCAAAATAATGAGTCCCCAAAACTGGCTGCAGCCAGGAACTATTCAGTTGCAGGGGCAGGTGCTAAGCATGGCCCAAAGCAAAACCCGCAGGATCCTGCAGTGTCCTGGGAACCCAGACCAGAGATGCAGCATTATGTGGTGGTCTGTTAGTGGCAGCTGACAGTTCACAATGAGTCCCTGCTACCAAGCAGGGAAGAGATCAGTCAGCAGCAGAGGGGCTCTGAGCACACCCCTCTGGGGCCCAGGCGGCCTTGGCTGGAGGCCAGGGCTGATAAGCACTCTCTGACGTTGGGGCTGCTGTTGTGCATGGAGCTTACTTGGCACAAACACTGGCGGGACACTCCCTGTCACTGTGGGAGCTGGGCTGAAGCTGAGGCCCCTGGTCCCTGCTGCCCCACAAACCCTGCTGGTGCCACCATGGATGTCAACCTGAGGTCTGCCTCTTCCCAGTGGGCTGTGGAGCAGGATTTTATGTTGGCCCAAGCCCCATGGAGGTACGGGGGGTTATGTATCCTGTGTGGGTACTCCAATAGTCTGCATCATTTACCTGGGGCTGCCGGAACTACCTGCCTGACGAAGAGAGCAGTTGCTACTTACTGTAGGATTTAACACTCCCTAAACTAACCTAAATCAGTACAGCAAGAAATAGAATAGACAGACATGGGGTAAAGTAGCCACTGCAGCACAGGGAGCCTTCACCAGCCTCAGAGGGGGGAAGGAAAATTCGCAGAAGAGAATTCATGGCCCTTCCTTGTTTCCCCTCTTCCTGCTCCTAGTGCATGCAGGGAGGCCGCTGGAGCTCCACGGGGCTGCCTCCGTGCCCGGAGGTTTTGTCCCTCTAAGGCGGGCGCTCCCGGGAACGATGTATTGGGCCGATTTCCCCCAGTTTCTGAGGACCGGTGGCACTTCCTTCTCTAGTGCCTGGGAACGCCGAAACCGCCGGTTCGAGCTGCGAACTGAGGAGTACAACCCCCAGCCTGCCCGAGAAGGTGCGTTGCAGGCGGGCGGTCCCCCTGACTGAACCCCCTGCACCCCGGGTCGGGGCGGTCCGGGGCGGAGCGGAGCGGCCAGGAGCGGGTAAGCGGGTGGAGGGCCCGCCCGCCTGCAGTGCTGGCCATGGCGGCGACAGGAGCGGGAGAGCGTGCGGGCGCGGCTGCGCTCAGGGACATGTCTGCGCGGCCCCTGGGCGCGGCGGAGCCGATGTCCCTCGGCTCGCTGCAGGGAAAGGTGTTGCTGGTGGTTAACGTGGCGTCTCTTTGAGGCACCACCACCCGCGACTTCCTTCAGCTCAGAGACCTGCAGCAGCGGTACGGGTCTCGCGGGCTGCAGGTCCTCGCCTTCCCCTGCAACCAGTTCGGGCATCAGGTAGGGCCGGCGGCGGGGCTGGGGAGCGGGGGGAGCCGCCCGTCTGGCGGGGCTCTCACGGGCTTCGCTCGGGGCGCGTTTGCTTTTGTTTCCTCCTAGGAAAATGCGACGAACGAGGAGATCCTGTTGTCGCTAGAGCATGTCCGTCCTGGGAAGGGGTACAAGCCCAACTTCATCGTGTTCGAGAAGTGCGAGGTTAACGGGAAGAACGCGCACCCCCTCTTCACCTTCCTGAAAGAGGCGCTACCCTTCCCGCACGATGACCCCTCCTCACTGATGACCAACCCGCAGTACATCATCTGGTCCCCAGTGTGCCGCAACGACATCTCCTGGAACTTCGAGAAGTTCCTCATCGGCCCGGACGGCGTGCCCTTCAAACGCTACAGCCGGCACTTCGAAACCATCAAGATCCAGGATGACATTGAATTGCTTCTGGAGAGGGTTGCCAAGTAAAGCGGAGCACAGCAGTGCCCGCTGCTTAGCTTATTGCATGCCTGCCTGTGCTCCTCACAGGGGGCTGCTGCTCTGGCAGAAATCCCAGTGTCTCATGCAGATTTTGTGTTTGATGGTGCATCTTCCAAATTCTTGAAGTGTACTTGATGTTTTTAAAAGCTGCATGTGGATGTTTGGGAAACTATGCTGGGGAAGGTGGCTACAAGTCTGAGTTACCTTACTGTGATTCTCTGAATAAAAATGTACTTGCTATAAGGCTGTGGCTTGATCAGTGTGGGCAAGTTGGGTGAAATTTGGTGGCCCTTGTTTCCTCAGCTCATGTGGGTGCTCACAGGGGCGGGCTGGAATCACTGGGTGGAAATGTGAATGAAAATGCAGGGCAGCATAAGGGCGAGCAGTGTCTGTGAGCTTTGCAGACTGAATGCGTGCTGTGTCCTACCCATGTTTTGTGAGCTTGGTAGAGGAGGACGGCGGTACAGTACAGAAGCATTGTGACAAACTGCCTGCAGAGGAAAGACATGGCCTGGGGGTGGTTTTATACTATCAACAACAGGTTGAGACAGGTTAGGAATTGCTCAGGCAGGCAATGATTGACTTCAGCCTGTGCTGGTGCTGCCATGCTGGCAGCAGGCTTGGGAAAGAAGAGGCCATTGGCCAAGGCCCATCTCATTATCTGGTCTTGTCAGCAGGAGCCCAGGGGAGACAACAGAAGGAGCATCTGCTGCCCCTCCCCTTATTCCTGAGCCACTGCTCCCTCTATGACTGAGTTGTCCCTGGCTCTATCTCATTTGCCCAACATGGATCTTGCCCCATCCGACACGAAGCCAGTATCGCTGTTATGCATCCCCACAACCTCGCGACACAGGGAAGCACACAGAGTGCCAGTTCTTCTGTGTTCCCAGTGCAGAGTACCTGCCTATTCAACCACTTCTAAGGAAACTCTGCCTTGCCCCAGAGTGTCCTTGTTGCCCTTTGGGTACAGGAATTGCAAGTGACACTACACATGCCATGTGCCAGGGTTCAGGCAATATTGTCTTTTTCATTCCTTCCTTACCACTTTTTTGACTCATGCCAACCATGGAGCTGACAGGTGTAGTTGTTGACATGGATCTGACACATATTCCTGCATAGCAATCCTGGTTTTACAGCCTGCTGCTCAACAGCTGGAATTAGGATTGGTTTCCTCTGGCAAACAGTGAGCCTGTGGTAAATTTTGCCTGCCATCCTTCTGCCCAGTGGGTCCGTTCCTCCTGTACATAAACTTTTGACAAGCCTCACAAGGCCTCAACAGCACTTGGTGCTGAACTGAGGAGTACTAATACAGACTACAAACTCATGCTTTCACAGTTATAGCAGTTTCAAGCACTAGTGTACGGGTTTCATAATTAAAAACACTTGGAATGTGAGGTTTTGGTTGTTGTGTTTTGTTTTTTTTTCTGTCACCCAATTCTCGGGTTTGCTTTGTTACTGTACCTACATTCAAGATCCCCTCTGGGCTGAGGAGAGACTCTGGGGAAAAACCTATGCCAGCTCCACCTCTGAGTCTTTGGGCTTTGAACTTGCATTGCACAACCCTCACCGGGCTGTTTCTCAACTTCCTGTACAGCTTCGTGGAAAAAACCCCAGGGTATTTCAAGTAGGTACTGCAGCTTGGGAGCAGAAGCTGCTTGATTTGGGAGATCATTCCTTTCAGTGAAACCTACTTCCCTCATTAACGCAGGATGTTGAAAGATGTAAGGAGAGGATCATGGGCAGCAGGAACTTACTGCACTGAAAAATGTTTCTCGACACGAGCTGCATATGGCACTTCCTCAATCCTGACTCACCAGACTCAAGACATTGCAATGGGAGCTGCTTTGTTTTGCCTCCTCCCTATCAGCCTGCACTGAGCCCGGCTGCCGCAGGGGAGCAGCCCCCAACGCCTGCAGCCGTTCCAACAGCAGCCCTGCCTGAAAGGGTCTCCCACCGAGCCTGCCGGTCAAAGGCACCTTACACCGTGCTTACTCAGTGCTAAGGGCCAAAGGATTTCTTTACCTTCTGACTACTGGGGCTGTGCTGGCAGAAAAAAACCCCAGCAGCTCCAGAACAGATACAGCCACGCCAGCAGAAGTACAGTGATGTGATTCCAGGATGAAAATTAGCCATGCCAGCAGAAAAATGAACAATTCCCAGTGTAAGCACACCAGCAGGAGCTCTACAGTGCAGAGAAAAGCCTCCCCACCTCGTTTTTCCCAGTCTCATTTTGGTGTTCTCCAGAGCAGCCTGTTTCTGGGGGAAAGCTGAGGTGGTGAGGGCAGCCTGCAGGACTTTCTGCAGACGAGCGCAGCCCCCATGCAGGCTCTTGTGCCCAAACATTACGTGGTGTCATGACCAGAAGGTGTTTCAGTGCAGACAGCATCTTAATGGTGAGGGTAGACCTGAAGAATCCTGGGTGGTTCCTAAGTGATGATAAAATGGCCCAGCTCTATTTCTGTAATTTCAGAGAGAAACAGATGGGCTCATAAGTACTCCTTTAGCATACTCCAGTGTTTCTGTGGCTTGGGGACATTGTCCTTGGAACATCTGTGTCTGTCACATCTATGCTCCTACGCTTATTTTTCTGCTTATATGCTTTTATTGCAAACAGCTAATCCCTCAGTTAGTGCTCACCCTGCTTTTCCATTCTGTAACATATCAGTCCTCCCCTTTCTAGCAAATGTTTGCCCCTCTCAGTAATTCCTCCCCCTTTCTCCCCCCAGGTGCTGATAGTTGCCATTAAATTTTTATATCTCTAAATATGTTCAGATATTTGAAGCTGTCAGGAGTGTTAACCAGCTGCAAAGAAGATGATCCTTCCTGCCCCTATCTGCTTTTCCTGGGTTCCCTTGTGTCCTTTCTGCCCACCAAACCCAAGCACATCTCCTGAAATGGCTGATGAGAAGTGGTGTTCAGAAGTGTATATTCCACAGAAAAGCCATCAAGTAGAGCCTATGGCCTTTGTCACTTTGCCTGTTCAATGTTCTTTCAGCTACTTAAAATCCTGTTCTCCTCCTGCTGAGCTTTGTTGCACCTACTAACATTTAAGATAGCTTTTAGTCACTTTTTAATCACTGCTATCATAAGGCAGGTAGGAAACATCTGCCTCAACCCCAACAGGGCGGCACTTGAAGGGGCTTTGTTCCTGTCACTGCGCCACTCTGACAACAAGCAGCCGACAGGTTCAGCTGGAGACAAGGGCAGGAAGTGGAATGGCTGGAAGGAAAGCTCTTGAAAAGACAGAACACAACACCCCAAACTACAGTGAAACTATAACAATGCCACTTGCTACTATGAAATCAGAAAGCTTTGAATGAAACCATTTTAATTGTTTAACACACTTTCTGTTACGAGGAGGTAATTTATTAGCAGTGAGGTCAGCCACATAACCATTATCTCAGAACAGCTGACTCACTTTAAAAACACCCCTGGTCTTGCTATAACAGGGTGTGTTAGCTTCTGGAAGCCTAAAGGGGCCCTGCCCTTTGGAAAAAGCAGAAGTAACAGGACTTGATACCTGCTGGAAGGAGAAAATGTTTTGTCTTTTTCAGTGTTAACTTGCCCTGCTCTCAAAAATCTAAAGGCCTTTAGCATTTAGCCTGGGTTGCTGCAGCCCCACCAGGTCTTGCTGGCAGGAGTTGGAGCACCATCAGACACTGTCTGCTGGGAGAGCACTCCCCTGTGCAGCCAGCATGGCCCACCACATCATCACTCACTTCCTTTCTGTCTGTGAGGTAAAAAGATTTCTTTGGTTAGAGTTTGTTGGGTTTTGTTTTTTTTTTAGAGACACTTCAAAAACGCCTGAGCGATATTCCTGTGACAATTGGAGTCTCCTTCCCTAGCCAACACCCTGGCTAGAGGGCTCCATGAAGTTAGTAATGGAAAAAACAGGTAAAACTGAAGCAACACAGCACACACCAAACGTTTGCGCCACCCGCTTTCGGGGCAGAAACCTGCCCGGAAGGGCCGCGGGGCTGCCACCAGCCAGCCTCTGCCGCAAGCACCGGGACGGGCCAAGTTAGCGGGAGTTACCGCGAGGTAACTACGAGATGGCGACCACCGCCTCAGCGCCCACACCACCCGCCCCTGAGCGTAGCCCCACCCACCCCGTCAGAGGCGGCGCGGCGGGCCGGGGCGAGAGAGGCGGGCGCACCGAGGGCGCATGCGTACGCGGGCCGACATCCGCCCGCGCCAGGGCTCACGCACCGACATGGCGGCGGCCGAGGGTGGCGGCGGTGGTAGTGGGGTGCGGCCGGACGTCGCGGTGCAACGGGCAGAGCTGGGGCCGCTGCTGGCTACAGCCCTCAGGCCCGGGGAGTCCTGGTGAGCGCACCCGGCCGGTCTTCCTCTCTTGTTTCCTTTGCCTCTGGGCGGTGGGGCCTGTGGGAGTGGGCCGGGTCGGGCCGCCACTGAGGGGGACCGCTGAGCCCAGTGCCATGTGTTGCAGGTACTTGGTGGACAACCGTTGGTTTAAGCAGTGGAAGAAGTACGTAGGCTTCGACAGCTGGGACATGTTCGGCGTGGGTGATCCCAGCCTCTTCCCTGGGCCTGTTGACAACTCGGAGCTCTTTGGCGGTGAGTGGTGGCCGGCGGCGCCGGGGAGCGGGTCCTGGGCGGGGGGCTGGGCTAGGGCCGCGGCCGGGCTCCCGTTAGTCACTCCTATGTGTACGCGTCTTGTCGCACGGTTTCGCTTTTGAAGCCGTGCGTTCCGAGAGGGTACAAGCGGCCGTCCCGGCCTTGTAAATAGGAGACTGGTGCGGTTTGCTTTTGCCCGTGGGAGTGTTGGTGTTTCTTGGCGTCATGAGTAGTGTGTGTGTAGGTCTTGAGAATAAAGGATTCTGTTTGATGCCGTGCTTTCTCATGTCTGTCTCTTTTTAGATCCAAAAACTCAGAGTTTAAAAGAACACCTCATTGATGAGCTAGATTATGTGTTGGTTCCAACCGAAGCCTGGGATAAGCTAGTGATGTGGTATGGCTGCATGGATGGACAGCAACCTATTGTGAGAAAAGTAAGTATGGGCGAGCCCAGTTCTCTTTAGCTTGGTTTTATTGTCTGATCTCTACCAAACTTAGTGTTTATTTTGCTAGATGTGGGTTAGGACAGGATCCTCAGCAGCTCTGTGGAGATAATAACATAAAGTCTTTTGTCGTGTTGTCTGAAAGAGTATCTTCCAGTGGTACAGTTCAAATGCCTGAATTTTCAGTGATTCTTAGTTGAGGGGTTATGTGTGGGAAGAGCTGTGAACCTTGTTCTAGTTAACTTTTTGCCTTATTATTTGAACCAGTGCAGCTTGAACTAGTGCAGTGGTTTTATGTTGCATGGAATAGTTTGCAGTTTCTTGAAAAGTTAAAGTTGTCATTATTTGCAGACACAAAGAGGCATTGGAATAGATTATGTTTTACTACAGGCAGCTTAGGGACTTCCTCTGGAGTTTAAGGAAGTTCTTGTTTTCCAAAATTCTATTCCAGAAAGTGAAATTTCTAAGTTTTGGTTTTGGAAATGTATCAGCCACTTGGTTATGGGTAAAAGTTTTTTTTGTTTGTATTTTAGTCTTAGGGTTTTGCGCTGACTAAACTGAGTCGTTAGTCACTACCCTAAGTAAATAGTGCTGATATAATGTACAGCATTAATATTGCTTAAGTTTTAAGTAGCATTATGTTGGCTTGCTTCAAGGAATGCAAGGCCCAGGAAAGTGTAGCACGGGAATGGTAAAAGGAAGTAAGGTCACTCTCTTGCAAGCCCACTGCTGATCAGTGCTACTGGAATATTGTCACTCAGTGTGGGCTAGAAAATATATGGGATGAAAAATTCTGATGTCGTCTGAAAGCATGAATGCTTCCAGGTTGACTCTGTTGAGTAGAAAGAGCTCCTGTGTAAACCAGGAGTGGGGGTGTGTGGAAGAGAATTATAGCATGTAAAGGAAATGTAGTTCTAGTAGGGACAATCTAGTGAGGAATAGGAAAATCTGTACTGAGAACAAAAGCTGGAACCAATGCAGATCAGTGCCTCTGAGTGAGAAAGCTTTTGTTCGTGACCATGTTTTTATTTTCACAAAGCCTGGCATGTTGTTAGACACTCCCTTTTCTGAAAAATTCACAAGTTGGACAATAGGTATGGATGTTGTTGGGGAAACACTTGGCAGGTTTAACCATGTGAGCCCCCTTTTCTTGGGGTTTCAGATACCACTATTCAGCACTGTAATGACTGGGGGCTAGAGCTTAGAGCTGGGGCTGTTTTGCGGGTGTAAGATTCCAAGTTATTGCTGCCCAGTTAAGAGTAAATTCGTAAAGTTTTGAATTGCTGTGAGAGTGACAGTTCTTGTTTATTGTTAACTCAGTAACTGAAGTGGATTTTTATATTTCAGTGTTAAAATATAGCCGAACATTGGGTTTGTGGGATGATAACAGTCTCTTATAAAAACGAAGTGAAAGGTCATTTGGATACACAAGCTGTAGCACTGCACCTGAGCAGAACATGGCCAGTATTTGGTTACAGTATTCTCCAGGTAGTGCTGGAAGCAAAGCACTTAACACTTGTGGTCCTTGAATGCTTTAATCCTTTTCCTAAAGCTCGATCAACTGTAATTCATACATCAAAATACCCATAAAAGTAGAATTTGGAAAGCAGTGTTCAGGCATCTTTGTAATTCTGCAAGCTGGTATTTCTTCCACCTCTATGTGTCTGATGATGTCAAGTACAGGAGGATTAGATTAGATTTACTTGTGGTTCAGGTTTCTTTTGCTGATCTCAAACCGTATTTTTGTGCAGTCTTCTGTAGGGTTCCAAAGTGTTTAAATGTACAAGATGCAGGCCAGTATACTTCCACAGCGCTGTGCTCAGGTTGCTGTCCAGTGGGGTGGATACATTTTACTGTGACACAGGACAAGCCAGCTGGTCAGACACTCTTTAAAGGACATCTGCAGGCAATTAGATACTCTTCTTTGTCATTTATGTGTCCTAATGGACACAATGAGCTCATAAAAAACTTCTTGGAGAGAGTTCTTCCATTCCTGAATATGGTTTTTATTTATTTGATTCTTGCTATGGAATACTGGAGAACAGCACGTCCCATTTAATGAAATTCCTTCTGAAAAGAAATAGAGAACTTGTGAATTGGTTCCTTTGCATAATTTTTCTTTAAAAGAAAAATCAAAACCAAAACCCACAACACCAACAAAAAAACACTAACAAAAAACCACCAACAAAACCCAACAAAAAAACAAACCAGCAAAAAAAAAAAAAAAGGACTGATTTTCCTGTCAGAGGTTAAAGAGGGAGAGTTTTACTTTCTGTTGTAACAGCAAAGTAGTGAAGATCTTTCCAAACGTGTTTGTTAATTATTTACCTTTAAAGCACCTTACCTAATCTAATACAACCCTATAAAAGCTCAGAAGAGGGAAGCATGACACAGATGTAGGTCATAGCAAGTCTGGTGTCACTCGAATAGAATATTTCAGTTGGAAGGGACCTACAGTGATTATCTAGTCCTGATCACTTCAGGGCTGATAAAAAATTAGAGGAGATTATTAAGGCTGCTGTCCAAATGTCTCTGAAACACTATTACTTTTAAAAATGACATCAGATGGTTCAATAAATTATAATATCAATTTTACAGGTAAAGAACTGTGGAGGGAATTGTGCTGTGGTGTTTGGTGTTCTGGTTTTTGTTTTTGTTTTTTTTTTTTTTTTGTGGAGTTTTGTGGGGGTTTTTTTTGTTTGTTTTTTCTTTTTTTCACCTCATTGTCCAGTTACATCACAGTTGTCTCATAACTGGCCCCTGAAATGCGCTTTTCTTTCTGATCTGATGTGTTTTGTGACCTGTAGGTAAAGCATGGTGTCTGGTCTTATAGAGTACATTCTCTAAACATGCTGAAAGCTAATGGATGGGTACGTGTACTTAGTGGAGTGTTCTCTAAAATGCAAAATTGATTTGAGAATGACTGAAATAAAGCAGTGTCATCGAAACAAGTTTTGAGGAGTTGTCTGTTTTTGCAAGGAGAGGCTAAAAAGGCACATTCTGTGTGTCATGCAGAAAAGTAATGAATGCTTTGTCTTACTGTCTTGTAATAGAAGGGTTTTTGCTCTGGTGCTCCTGGCTTGCTTCTTTTTTATGCAAACCTTAGGCAAAGACTGGAGGCAGTTGTGTTGTTTTTTGTTTGTTTGTTTTTTTTCTTCCTCCTAAAATTCTCGAGTGGTCAAATATTTTTCATGGGCAGTTACTGGCACTGTCAGTTCAGCTGTGATGGTGAACCTTTGGAACTTTGCACTTTGGAAGGAAAGTACCGTGATTTCTTGTTTTAGAAAAGGAAAAACTTCAAAACAAGCTGTCAGAGGTGGTGACTTGGAAGCAAGTCAGTGTTCAGTTTATGGCTTGACTTACAAGACTTATAACTTAAAATATTTAGGCAAGTGTACCTTACAGAGCACTGCTCAGTATTTTAGCTCTGTTTTGTTTCTCACATCTGCCTTCTATTTGCAGGTAGTGGAATATGGTCTGTTTGTGAAGCACTATAAGGTTGAAGTTTATCTTCTTGAGCTGAAACTGTGTGAGAGCAGTGATCCTGACAATGTAATCAGCTGTCACTTTAGCAAAGCCGATACTGTTGGTAAGTAGTTCTCTGATGCGTGAAGCCATACTCTGAGGCTACTTCAAGAGATATTTTGTGCCATCCAGAACAAGAACAGTGTTGATAAATCTAATCAGTGCCAACAGGGTAGTCAGTTGGATCATGTGATGTCTGAGACTGAGGGAGCTACGTTTAGCCTGGAAAAGAGAAGGCTTTGAGGGTCCTAATATCACCTGTGAGGAGGTTACTGAGAACATGGACTCAGGCTATTTACTGAGTCACAAAGCAACAAAACAACAGACAGTAGTCATAAATTGAAAGAGGACAGATTCCAACTAATACAATTAAAATGTTTTTGGTATTAGCACAGCTAGACATTTGAATAGGGCCCTGAAGGGTGGGGGAATCTCCTACCTTGCAATTTTTGAATGCCTGATTGGATAAACCCTGAGCAGCCTGATCTGAATTCACTGTTGACCCTGCCTTGAGTGTTTGAATGAAGAACCTTCTGAGTTTCTTCCAGCCGTAGTGATTCTCTGTGTGACACAGGGAATTGTGATTAAGAGCTTTGAGGAATACGTTTCTAACTAGCTCATGTCCTTAAGAAACATCCACGTCACTCACGTACAGCAGTTCTGTCTCTAGTTCTCCTATGATTCCTTCTTCCTGGTGTGTGACTATTTTGGACATCTTAGTGGCTTTTTCTACACTTCTGCCTGAAACTTGGCCCATCTCTCTTTCTCTCTCTCTCTGTATCTTTGCTGTATTTTCTTCTGTAAAATTACTGTCAGCCGTCGTATTTTCATAAAGATACTTTGTTTGTTTGTTTGCTGATGTTTGACCTGCCGATAGTAACTGAGAACTCTTCCTTCTTGAACCTTCAAATGATGGCTGTTTCGCAGCAGCTGGCCTTTGGGCTGAAATTTCTCAGTGTGTTCTGAACATTATTAGTTTGAGGGCTTGACAGGCAAGTATATGACTGAAATGATCAGTGATGTACCTCTTTGCTGAATGTCTGGCTTGTGAGGTTTTTTCCCCAAAGCACTCATGTTTTAGGAATTTTGGTGTTGTTTTCCTCCTGAACAGCTACCATCGAGAAAGAAATGAGAAAACTATTTAATATCCCTGCTGAGAAGGAAACTAGGTTATGGAACAGGTATATGAGTAACACTTACGAGCAGCTCTGCAAGCTGGATAGCACAGTCCAAGATGCAGGGCTCTATCAGGGTCAGGTAAGGGGCATAACTTTTGATTCTCATTTCCTGCTTTCTCTATGGGTTTTTGGTTTGGTTTTTTTTTTTTTTTCAGTTGCTTTTATGTACTTTGAGCAAACATTGAAAGTGTGATTTGTGTATGATTTTGCAAAATGTGTAGTAGGCTTGCAGTTACCTTTCTTAATTATCTGAACTGTCTTTCAGATGGTTCTAATAGAAGTGAAAAATGAAGATGGCACGTGGCCTGGACAGCATATGTTGGCAAAGTAAGCAAGCATGTTCTAAACGTTTCTGCTGTTTTGTCCAGTTTGTTTGCTAAACTGTAGCCACCACATGTTCTCTCTTGTAGCCTGGTTGTCATGGGCTGTTGTGGATTTCTTTGTTTCAGCTATTTTGAAGGAGAAAAAATCTTGAAAATAAATATTCTTCCAAGGTTCTGTTGCTGGTTTCTTGTCTCAGCCAGTGTCTTCTATTACACAGATAGATTGTGTAAGGGTTAAGTACCTTAAGTTCTAGGACCTTTAGGTTCTCAGGTGCTATTTACGTTGAGTTAGTCTACTTAAAAAGCTACCTCTGCAAGCTGCCCAGTGGAGGGAGAGAAAAAAAAGTCTTCTGCCATTGTAAAACAAAAAGGATCTTGGAATATATTTCCAAAGCTGCTAGTGGTGAATGCTTGGAATTCTGGTAATTCCCCCTTAAAAAGTGTATTGAAATGTAGTTTTTGTTGTTTCAGTTGAAACTATTGTTTCACTTTTAAGCTGAACAGCCCCACTTGCCCCAAGGGCAAGTATACAAGCCTACTACAAGTAAGTACTACATGGATACGTCTACTATCTAATTTAGAGAAGAGCTAGGTAGAAGAGTTTAATGAAATACTGTATATAGAGAGTGAATGGTGTAGAATGGAAGTTGCTTGCAGTGGTAAGAAACTGCTCATACCAAGTCCTGTGAGTAGGCCGTAATAAAGAAAATGCTTTTCTGTACAATATGGTTGACTTCCAGAGCTTCTTGCCAAGTTATCTCATTTGAGATCAAGACCTCACTAGTGTTAAACTTGAAGAAAGGATCAAATAGGTCAGTGAAACCTATTTTTAAACAATTCTCTACTTCTGAGAGATAATGCTGCATAAATGGATCAGGAGAATGTCCATCATATTACAATGAACTTTCAGTAAGAGCATTGTGTGAAGAGCGTCTAAACTTTCATATCATGTACATAAGCAAGTACTGGTGGACAGTCAGGATTAGAAAGGGAGCCATGCAAGACCAGATCATAGCCTATTGTTTCCACATAAAACAAAGCCAAAAAGGAGCCCTGTATCATTCCCAGGCCTGTGTTTCCCTTTTTTTTGTCATGTAGTCTGCTATGTAAGCACTTCAAGCTTTAGAGGTACTTAAATGGAAATGGTTATGGGTACACGGATTAGTGTTTGCTAATGACATGGAAATAAACATTTGCTTATTATAATGTAAAAATTATGAAATTGTTTGACTTAATGCTGATAATGGTGGCTGAAAGAATTGTATTAAGTCATATGAATAGCTTTATCTGTGCCTCTGTGCGTTGTCTTGTACTTAATCCTATCTTGGGCAAACATTTTGCTCTAATAATTTCTTTCTCAGCTGGAGAAAATACCGTTTAGCCAGGACCATGGGAAACTTTATATTTGAAGTTTTTTTCTTTAGGGTGCATCACTTTAAAAGCTTATGAGAAAGTTTGTGTATTTAGAGTTTTGATGCCATAAACCAAACAGGATGCAGAGTGCTCTACTGTTGGTAGAGGAATGGTGAGTGTCTGCATCGCTGCCTGTGTGCCAAAAGAGGCCTTGCAAAGCTGGGAGTTCATGTTACTACTCAGGATATGTGCGTGCAAGCTGACTATGAGGTGGGCGAGTTCCCTGTTGTGAGGATTTTCCCCCACCATTTGGTGTTAGTCAGAAGCACTGGCTCCTGCCAGGGCAAACAGCTTTTCCCCATGTTTGGCAGCCCTCAGTCTATTTCCCAGCCATCAAGCTGGCTGACATTTAACAGAAAGCATGCTGTTAAGCATCACAGCAGTCCTTGGGTGGTATATTTGTATGTTAGTTTGCTTCTCCTTAGGCAACAAAACACTTTCTTCTTGTAGTTTGAAACTGCTTTTACTACTAGACAAGGTTTCAGAAGAGGGAATAGATTATACTTATTCTAGGAATTTTGGAATTGGAAGCATGCTTTGTTTCTGAAGGGAGATTTTATCAAAGACTCTGTGAAACTTGGTCCTCTTTGATTGTTACTGACAATACTCCCAAAATAAAATGCTGAGCTAGCAGAGTTCCAGCTCAGTCCTAGAACATGCGTTTTTATCCTGGGTATCATTTTCTTGGCACAAATGAACAAGAAATTCTGTCAGATCTGTAATAGCAGAACCTTTTCCATCAGGTATTGCATTTGAAAGCAGGAGTGAAGTTGTATTTAGCATCTGCCTGATAGCTGTCTGACTCCCTTTGGAATACTCAGCAGTAGAATTCCTTTTTGTTCTTTGGTTTCTGCTGTAATTTTCTTGCTGTTTCCTCTTCCTGCTCTTCCTTTTACTGATGGCAGTGTATACGTGGGAGCCTTTTCCCCTCTCCTGGTGTTACTCTCCTCAGTAAAAGTGTTGAGGAGTTGTTTAGTTCACGTATATGGTATAGCATATGTGACTTTTCTCAGGTACTCTGTCCTGATTTCGGCATCTGTTCAAGTTGAAACAACATTCCATGATACTACATGCCAGAAATTACTGTACAGTCTTAAGACCTTTATGGTTGTTATGTATTTTGTAGGTATGTAACACCATAATTAAATGCCCTCTCATATTTAAAGCTGATGTCCTTCTCCCGTTCCTTGTGTGTTTATGTTTTAGGAGGAGCCTATTTTCTGGGAGTTCTTTATTATGCAACTTTCAAGTGCTTCAGTTTGCAGTAGATGCTGCGAGCTTTCAGGGTATTGTCAACTATGTAAGATAAGTCAGGGAGGCTTTTGAATGTAAGAACTCTCTAAATGAAAATGCATTATAGTCTCTGCTTTGCCAATGAAATGTAAGTCCTGCCTTGTCTAGCTTTGACAGAAATGTTTTGTCACTGTGTGTATATATATATAGATACATATATATATTTATTGGTAGTTTAAAGGAGGACTAATTCTGCTGTATCCTCTGAAGGTAGCTTCAACTGAATTGAAACACTTTGTCTGTCTCTGTCTCCCAAACACTTGAAAGCCTTTTACAGTACTTTTTCAAGCTGTTCAGCTTAGCAGTTTTTCTTCTTATCAACCATATGGCTTCACAGTTTCTGGACTAGATTAATCTAATTTTGTACTTTTTGTGCTGCAAGTCGTCAGATTTCTTCTCACTTGCCATTTGTGTGGGTTTTGAAAGGTTTCGTGGCAAGATGTGAAACTGCTGCTGTCTTTAATTGGGAGACGGGGGGCAACGTGCATCAGTATTGTGAAGCATGAAGTTGTGTATGTGGGGATGAAGGTCATGAGCCCGAAATACATGCTGGGCTCTGTAGGAATGTGATACCAGTCCTGGTTCATTTCCCTGGATGTGAGCTCATGTAGCAGCCTTGAGACAAAACCAATGAAATAAACCTCAGTGCTTCAGTAGGGAAATGCTGAATGTGCATCAGAAGATTTTGATAACTGGCACACTGATAAAACTGCACATTTTTCAGTTTATTTGTGGCACTGTCAACAGATTTGAAAAGTAGACTAATGAGAGGTTTCAGATCCAAGTGAGTTGTTGAAGAATTAGCATGTTTTTTTTGTGCTAGGAGACTTGGAAGTTAAAATGTTTTATCAGTGAGAAATGTAAAAGATTATTTTAACACTTAAAAGCTTCTGTAGGATATGAGAAACTCTACAGGCAGCAGATGGACGTGAGCACAAACCAGTGTCCAAATGATGAAGCCAGGTACTCACGTTGCAAATGAAATACAAGTTTCTTCTGACTGCAAGGGTTATTGGTCACTAGAACAGGTTGTGGTCTGGGTTGGTTGCTGTTGGCCATTCTGAAACCATTATGGAAGATTTTTCTATAAGGTGTATTTTTAATTCAGGAGTTATTTTGAGAGACTTAAATTGTGTTTAAGCAGGAGGACTGATTGAGCAGTCATACAATGCATTCTCATCCTCAAACCTGTGAAATGATTGTTTTCTTTTTCAAATCCCTGAACTGTAGCATGGTTACATGAAGTCTGTCTTCAATATAGTTTACTTCTCTATAGGTTTTGTTGATGACATGTAACTGAATATGTTTATCCCTGTCAGAAATATAGTAGTTGTGATCAAAGGGAAGTTGCAGGAGCGTGGCACCTTCCAGTCCAGTGTCTGTTGTGCATACAGAGACCAAACTGAGTCTAGTTGCAGTGGTAACCCACTGAGTAGCCCAGAATGTTTTGGAAGATTCTAAGTCATGAAGTTAAAGAAGAAATAATGTTTATCTCTTACTTCACAGCAAGGTATTGGGGCCTCCATTTCGAAGGGAGCAGAAGTTGCATACTGTGAGAGATGGCAGTGGGGGCAGTTTGGCAAGCCCCAAACACAGTCTAAACCTGAAGCATGATAAATAAAAACGCATCAAACACCAGCCAGCATAACCAAAAAGTATACTGGAAAGTATACTAGAAAGAATAAGCAGATCTACTGGAATAACTAAGACAACCATTTCTAGGGCAGTACATGTCCTTCCGGTCACTGCATGTTGGAGGCGGAACTTCTCAAGTCTACCTGAACACAATGATAACATAGGACAAGATGATCTACACTAAACAGCAATTACCAGACTTCTGCTCCACAAGCAGGCATTTTAAGGGTTAATATAATCACACTAATAACAGCGAGACCTGGACAGGCTGGAGAGTTGGGTGGGGAAAAACTTGATGAAATATAACAAGGGAAAGTGTAGAGTCCTGCATCTGGGCAGGAACAACCCCAGGTTCCAGTATAGATTGGGGAACGACCTGTTAGAGAGCAGTGTAGGGGAGAGGGACCTGGGGGACGACAGGGTGACCATGAGCCGACACTGTGCCCTTGTGGCCAAGAAGGCCAATGGCATCCTGGGGTGTATTAGAAGGGGGGTGGTTAGTAGGTCGAGAGAGGTTCTCCTTCCCCTCTACTCAGCCCTGGTGAGACCTCATCTGGAATATTGTGTCCAGTTCTGGGCCCCTCAGTTTAAGAAGGACAGGGACCTGCTGGAGAGAGTCCAGCGCAGGGCAACTAAGATGATTAAGGGAGTGGAGCATCTCCCTTATGAGGAAAGACTGAGGGAGCTGGGTCTCTATAGTTTGGAGAAGAGGAGATTGAGGGGTGACCTTATTAGTGTATATAAATATATAAAGGGGGAGTGTCACGAGGATGGAGCCAGGCTCTTCTCAGTGGCAAACAATGGAAGGACAAGGGGTAATGGGTACAAATTGGAACACAAGAGGTTCCACTTAAACCTGAGAAGAAACTTCTTCTCAGTGAGGGTGACGGAACACTGGAACAGGCTGCCCAGGGAGGTTGTGGAATCTCCTTCTTTGGAGACATTCAAAACCCGCCTGGACACGTTCCTGTGTAAGCTTATCTAGGCGTTCCTGCTCCGGCAGGGGGATTGGACTAGATGATCTTTTGAGGTCCCTTCCAATCTCTAACATACTGTGATACTGTGAGGAGCAGGTGGCTTTGGCTAGTCGAAGTCTGCAGGCTCCATAAATAAACACTTTTGGGGTGTTGGGGATAAATGCTTTGCATCCAGGACTTCTGTTGTCATTTCTGTGCAAATGAGACAGTCTCCTTGGGAGCCTACAGTGTTGTGGAGTCATTAGAAGTAGCTTCCTGGGGTTAAAAATGGAAGCTTTCAGAGGAAGACAATTTTTCTAAGCTGCTATCTGTGCCTGTCACCTGGAATCATAGTTACCTTTGTGACCATCCTGTGAAATGAGGGGGAACAGCTATCCATCATAAATCGTCAGTCTTTCTTCAGTTATTACGGGTAGATGAGTAACTTGTAACATATAAGAGTGCTCACATTTATATTCCCAAGTGTATTTGATTTCTGTTTTATTCTCCTCTTTTGGAAAGCGTTGGCCTCTCTTTCATAGCTTTACTTCTTACATGATCCTTTCCAGTTTCTAACAGGAACTCCCTCAAGATCCTTGGTAACTTCGTAGGTAGACTTTGCTCTGCTCTGTGACTTGACTCTTATCTTTCCTTTCTCATCCAAATTGTTTGTTTGTTTGTTTTTTTTTTTATCTTCCTTCAAAGTTCTTAGCTTTTCTGTGTGTATAGGATATTCCTAAAGTACTTCTGGGCACTCTTCAGTTGCCATCTGACTTGGGATTCTGCACTGCCTTGGTGCTTCTGTTGAAAAGTTTGAAATCCCTGAAGTTGTTGACCTCCTTTGCTTTTCTCCTTATTAGATTTCCTTCATATTATTTTCCTGGCATCTTATTCTGTTCTCTCAGCAGGGTCAAACATGTCAAGCAGAGATGCTTCATTTTCAAGTCTAGCACTTTTTAGATTGCCTTTTTTTTTTTTTTTTTGCTTCTAGATAATTCACTTCTACAGACTTTACAAAATATGTTCTTAATGTATTTACATGCTGTTATTAGTGTGATTATCTTAACCCTTAAAATGCCTGCTTGTGGAGCATAAGTCTGGTAATTGCTGTTTAGTCTAGATCATCTTGTCCTATGTTATCATTGTGTTCAGGCAGACTAGAAGTTCCGCCTCCAACATGCAGTGACCGGAAGGACATGTACTGCCCTAGAAATGGTTGTCTTAGTTATTCCAGTAGATCTGCTTATTCTTTCTAGTATACTTTCCAGTATACTTTTTGGTTATGCTGGCTGGTGTTTGATGCGTTTTTATTTATCATGCTTCAGTTTTAGACTGTGTTTGGGGCTTGCGTTTTCATCTGGAAGCTGAGAGATAGAGATACACCAACAAGCTAAAGCTTGAGGGCACCATCCTCTGCTGTGCTTTGGGTGTGTTGGCCACTGTTTTGTGGTTGTTGGTGTCTCACACCTTTTTGCATTCAGTTTTGCATGTTTATTTGAGCAAAGATGGAGAGAATAGACCATCCTCCATTTAGCTCTTGCTATAGCGATATTAATAAGTGTCAAAATAGTTTATTTAAGCTTATTTATGTAGTGCTGCCTTGTGGTTTTGCGTTTTTTATGGAGCCAAAGCTGTCTGACAGAACACTCATAGAATTTTAGTGCCTTGTTGATCTTTTGGTGACTTTTGTGTTCTGGTTCTTTTCCACGCCAGGAGGCTAGTAGTGTGGAATAACTTAGGATCCACAACTTGGATAGACTTGAGGCTTAGTAACTTTTTTAATCCATTCCAGTATCTCCAGTCTCAAAATGCTGAGGCTTGCTATGCATACCATGTGTACACAGTGGTGTGTCTTGCCTCTGAGTTGCAGCTACAATATAGTTGTATCAACTAGGCTTAGTAATGAACTGTTTTGTGTCCACCCTGGTTATCTTCTTGCATAATAATGTTCTGGTAGGGAAGGACTGACTTTGCTGTTTTTTTAACACAGGGTGAGTGTTTTGTGATTTTAAGATTGGGATCTTTTTGCTTGCTTGTCTCAAGGTGGTGGTTTACACATGAACTTAAAGCTTGCTTCTCTGTCACTCACTGTCTGAATTACCTACTTATTTCAGTCTGGAACCCAGATTTTGCTTCAAGCAAGGACTTCTACTCTTGCTTCTGATACTGTTGTCTGATGTTGCTGTTCTAGTCAGGTGTTTGAAAGTGTGATCACACAGATCAAAGCAGTAAATTTCTGTGTGGGAACTAACTGTAGCTTGGCAAGTCCTTGGAGTTTTGTGGGAGGTGGGCCTGGGGATGAAAAAAGTAGTAGCACTGTTTCTGCTTCTTTTTCCTTTCTCCCAGATCAAGCACTGCAACTAGCAGAAGCTTTACTACCTCTTCAAAATCATCAGCAAGTTCTTATTCCTCAGTGTCTGCCACTTCTGTCATTACTAACGGTGATAGCAGTAACTCCTATGGACTGAACAGCTCCCACCTGGGCAGGGGGTAAGAGCAGGAATGTTCTTTTTGTTTCTTCATCCTTCATGTGAATAATCCTGTGCATCCTTGCCTGTATAAAAAAGGAGTGTGATGAGTTCTGCTACTCTTGTCTTTCTCTTTATCAAACTTTGCTTTTGAAACCCCTGCATTCTGCTGTTCCTTGCTCACTTGCAAAAGTAGCACATGTTCCAGAGCTTACCATTAGGGCACTGCCTGATTTGAGGGGATTGGGAATATAAGGGAAGGAATTACATTCTTTTCTCCATCTGTGATTGTGATAGAAGCCTTTCCAGGTAGAGATTTTTTTTTTTATTAACTCTTACAGTAATATCGTGCAAACTCCTGCTGCATTAGGGTAGAGTGCTGTGTACTTACTGACAGAGGAAAATAATGTGTTATGAGCCATAAATTAATAATAGACTGTGTAATGATTAATGTTTCTAAAGTTAGCACATGTACTTCACATTCCTGGTATTCATCATTAGCCACTATGAAGCAGCACAAACATATAACATGCTGGTTAAACAATTTCATTAAACATCTTTTTGACTTGTATTTGGTGTGACTCTTAAACGGTATTGAGATTCAGTAAACTCACTGTGGAGTTCACTGTGTTGTCTTTTTTCCAGAGGTTCTGGATTTGTCTGTAACTCTTACAGCTGCAGGGATAATCCTTCTCTGTCACAACCTGGACTCTGTGGGCTCAGTAACCTTGGAAATACCTGCTTCATGAATTCTGCATTACAGGTAAGACTTTGGAAGAGCCCTCTTTAGAAATAAATGAAAGAGCAGTCTTGCAAAGATTGTGGATTAAAACTTGCGGAAAGAAAAGGATGTTCTAATGTGATTCAGTGAGGAGACTGCACCTGGAATGAAAGAAACCAACTCAACCAACAAACCCCAAACAAAAAAATCAGCTCATTTAATTTGACTTATGCATAGCATTTTAGTTCTATAAACAGTATAAAGGACTGGATCTGAAATGATCCAGTAACTTCTGGAAGACTGGGGGGGAAGTAATACTAAACAGATGCGCAACTGTAAAGTCCCAGTGCTGTGCTCTGACAAAGATGGGCTGATGTGGAGGATGTTTTGACTTGTGTGGGCTGCACAAGTGATATGAGCAGTTCACTGCAGGCAGTTCTGGGGTCCATGTTTAAAGACTCCTCCAAAATGAAGAGTGTGAAAAGCCACAGGAAGGGTTCAGGGTCATTGTGTGGGTGTTAAGGTTATGTCAGTTATGCAAAGATAATAATTACTGGCATACTCATTTAACTTAGTCTCTTAGGTTTATTTGGTTCAATAAAAAAACCCCAACTTGTTAAGGATATTTTTTTGCTAAGAATTTCAAACAAAATATGAGCCAGCTTATATGAACTTTAGTGTGGTCCAAGTGCTGTGTAATGACTCCTGTCATTCTGTGGTAGCTTTGAAAGCTAGAACAGGTCTTAAAATAACTACAATGCATTATGCATGTCGTATTCAGGATACCAGAATGAACTTGGGCTGCCTTACTTGTTTGTTCAGTGTGACTTTATTCTTAGTCGTATCATGGTAACCTTACACCACATTATATTCTCTTGAACTTCATAGCTAAGAGACAACTTTTAGAATTCTTTTTTTAATTGTCAAAGTAACTTAATCCAAACACGCTTTAATCTTAATTTTTGCATAGAAGCTAATTGGGTGAAAAACTTTCTTGTATTTACTATAAGGCTTTAATTTTCTAGACATCAGTCTCTCAAATGCAAATCTTTGACTTAATTTTTTGAGGTTCGTGGAATTTTGTTAGCAACAGTCTCCCAGTGAGAGGCTAGTGTCAAACCATAGCAATCTGTAAGCACTTTAATGTCATCTGTCCAGAGAAAGATACTTTGTGCACGGACACTGGAACTGGAAGAATTTGATAGGAAATAAATTCCACAAGCTACACATCAAGGCAGTGACAGTGGAGGAGGCTGAAGGGCAGGACTGCTGACTCTCTCTGGATTGCCATATGTAACTGCTGGGAGAGCTGTGTACCTACACCTAGTTGGTGAAGCACTGTACAGGGATCTGCTACAGGTCCTGAAATTTCAGGTGTTCAGAAAGAGCCCAGTTTAATATTTCTTGATACTACAGTGCCTTGAAGCCCTGGTAATTTTGATCATACCTCAGAATTAGCTTTGTTCTCACACTGAAGTCTTGCTTTACTTATCCAAGCGTCACTTCCTGCTATAAGCGTAAAATCTTTGAATTACTGAGTTAGTGAAACAACTTCCTGTGTTAGTTGTGTCTTGAGGTTTATGGTGATTTCCTAGGGTGTATTAAATTACTACCACAATACACTGCTAATGAGTATATAGATCATAGAATCATAGAATAGTTAGGGTTGGAAAGGACCTTAAGATCATCTAGTTCCAACCCCTCTGCCATGGGCAGAGACACCACACACTAAACCATGTCACCCAAGTCTCTGTCCAACCTGGCCTTGAACACTGCCAGGAGAGTAGATATAGAGTAGTATCCTTCCTATCTTTAAACAGCTAACTTTGTGATGGGTTTTTTTTTAATGGTGTTTGGTCCCTCGTAGGTTAAAGCATAGCTTGTGTTTCACTTCTTGGAGGAGCAAAGACCTTTTTTCTCACGGTCCCTCATATTAAGATTTCAAGGTTGGAGATTGAATATGGGATGTAGGATTGAGGACATTAAGGACATCTCTGAAGACCTTCCATACTTGTTCTGTGCAGATTTATGTGTAATACGTTAGTAAGGTTGCCTGCCCTACCATCCCAGTAAGCGGTGCAAAAACAGGTTTGCATACAGTAATTATAGGAACAGACGAGTCTTGGTTGTTTGCTGTTTACTTTCCTGAGCTATTAAATACAGTAACTTTAAATGAATGCTTCAAATTATTCTGCACTGAAGGAATAGGAGATAATGTTCTAATGGAAGGAGTACATGTTCTAATGTGAAAGTTGGGTTTGTTATTTTATTGCCACTGATTTATTGTCTTGTGCAGTAAATTCACCTTCTTAATGCTTTTTCAGTGTCTAAGCAATACCCCTCCTCTGACTGACTATTTTCTGGAGGACAAGTACGAAGCTGAAATAAATCAGAACAATCCACTGGGGATGAGAGGAGAAATTGCAGAAGCCTACGCAGAGCTCATTAAACAGATGTGGTCTGGAAGACAGTCACATGTGGCACCACGTATGTTTAAAGTAAGTTCTCCATGTTCTTGTAGCATAGCTTTTTGACAGAAGAAACAGTGGAAGCTAATATACCTTCCATGTATGCTAGTGTTAGGAAAGCAACAATGACAGAATTTGTTGTTTTGCGTTTTATGCACATGCTTCTCAGGGTACAGGGAGGGACTTGCTAGTAGTCATACCCCAGAACTGGTTACCGCTCCTTAATGTGAAATGCCTTACTTGGTAAATGACCTTCCAGCCTTGGAGCTGTTTACAGATGCATCAAAATGATCTCTGCCACAAAACTAGGCAAGGTCATGTGAATTGCTGTGAACTTTAATCAGTAGTAAAAGGAAAGTTACAATTTTAAAGAATAAAATTAGAAAGTGGAGAACAAAATGCATTCCCTTGTCTATAACATTATTTATTGATGTAGTGTTCCCAGTGCTTCAGTGTAAAAAGCTGCTTTCAGCTGAAATACTACAATATAGTAGTTGCATACGAACCTCTAGAAAAACTGTAGCTGTGTCTTCTGTTTTAAGTGTAATGCAAAGATGCTCCAGTGCAGAACAGTGAATAAAGCATCCAAGGAACATGAAGAGTTTGCTTCTGTAGTGCAGTCTCGGTATGCTGTGAAAGATTAAGATCCCAAATACATGAAATAAGCAGTGATCTGATATTAGTGTAAATGTGTGTCCTGTTACTGTTTAGATTTTGTGTGGTATAGTCTTGCAGTCAAGGGTATGTGCTTTTGAGACCTGGAGCAGAAGTCTGATGGGCTATAGAAATCTGCCCTCTGTGGAGTCATAGGTAGATCTGGATCAACAAGATGTTTAATTTCTGTGACTTGGAGTTGCTGGCAAATCACCACTATGAAACTTGATCTGTAAACTTCCATTCAGAGGAAATATATGAATATATAGTGGACAGCAGGAAAAGTGCCTTAATGTGGGCTGTTCTTGTTTAAGGCTGGAATAGGAATTGCTCTTTATTTCCTAGTACTACAGTATCAGTTGTGATTTTCCTATTGCTTATTCAGTGACAGTGTTAACTATCTGCATTATGCAAGCAGCCTTTCCATCTGGGCTTCCTTGCAGTTGTTACCTTGAGTGTTCAAAATGTGCTAAGCATAATTTTGCAAGCCTTTTGGACTCTTTTGTGTTTATGGAAAGACTAGTGATGGTCATAGGACTGACCACTTCTTCCATTAATTGTGGTTTTTCCTCTGGGATCCCTTCCTACTGCTGTTTCAGGAGCAGGAACAATAAATGGTAGTGTTGTGAGATAAGAGGTGTGTAAGGGCATGCTGTTTCTGGCTCTTGCTAGCTCAGGCTGTTAAGTTTCTTAGCTTCATATCACAATCTTTAGAGTACCTAGAGATTACTGTGGTGAGATTTTCAATCTTAAGTTTTAAGCCAGTTTTGTTAGCTCATGATCATCTTCTGCAAACATTTTGAGTCTTCCAGTCCACCTGCTTCAGGGTACTGTCTTACAGCAAGTCTGCATCGTGAGAACTGTAAGCTTCTGAAAGAGAAATTAAAGTACAACATATATATTGGCAGATAGGTTTTGTGTGCTGGTTGTTTTGGAGGTTTCTGAACTAATACTGTTAACTTAGATTTCTAGCATCACAGCACTGAATGCATTCTTCCCTCTGAGGACTAGAAGGGGAAATAAAAACAGTTGAGAAAATTGTGCTGGCACCCTTACTGCATTAGAATCCAGTTCACTGTGGTCTGGTGCTAGCAGAAGGTAGCATGGAGTTGATGTCTTCAAAAGGCAGGACATGAGTGTTTTTATTCTTGTTTTTCATACATAAGTAATGCTCAACCCTTCTAACTCTTGTCTCTATTTTTCAGACACAGGTTGGCAGATTTGCCCCTCAGTTTTCGGGATACCAGCAGCAAGATTCCCAGGAGCTCTTGGCTTTTCTTCTAGATGGCTTGCATGAGGATTTGAACAGAGTGAAGAAGAAGCCCTACTTGGAGCTGAAGGATGCCAATGGCAGACCTGATTCGGTATGGTGCCCTTTACTTAAGGGTAGGGCAGGTAGTGCTTCCCAGGGAGTTTATTTGTAGTTTGTGACACTTCCTGGCCTTCCAGCTCATCGGCCACACAAACATTGTCCTTGCAAAGCAGTCTGCCTGGGAGGGGAGAACCCTGCCACACTTTATGGCCTGGCTCACTCTTCATGACACCTCATGGCACGTTGCCGTTGTTCAGCCTTACAGCAGAATATGTGTTCTTGTACTGTTGTGCAGGAAGATGTGCTTATGGTGCAATATTGACATCAGTATCAATGTTCTGAGTTTTCTTTGATCCCTGTGCTTGTGAGATCCCTGAGTGTTTGTGAGAAGTAGCTTTTAATGGTTTTTTTTTTTTTTTCTTTCTATTTATAGGCAGTGGCAAAAGAGGCCTGGGAGAATCATAGGCTGAGGAATGATTCTATCATTGTGGATATTTTTCATGGTCTTTTCAAATCTACTCTTGTTTGTCCCAAATGCTCTAAAGTTTCTGTGACCTTTGATCCCTTCTGTTATTTAACCCTTCCATTGCCCTTGAGGAGAGATCGTCTCATGGAAGTCACCTTGGTATATGCAGACCCACAGCGTAGGCCTGTCCAGGTGAGGCATGTTGAAGACAAAAATTTAAGTAATCCGAGTCTCTCTTAGGTTTCTAAGTTGACACTTTGCAAGTGACGTAGAGGACATTGTTGTCCACCTTTGGGTGAAGTAGGATGGGGTTTTTTTTAATTCAAAAACTGGGAACTGAACATGTGAAATCAAGTGGCTTTATAAAATCTCAGTTCGTGAGACTAGGTTTATTTTGCCTGGTTATAAGCATGATATTGTCTTTGTTTCTAGTACCGGGTTGTGGTGCCGATGATGGGGGCCATCTCCGATCTGTGTGAATCGCTTTCCAGACTTTCTGGTGTTCCTGCAGAAAATGTAAGGGTAAATGCAGACAGTAATTTTTCTTTTTTTGTTCTTGAAGCATTTTGGTTGCTTAGCTTTTAGATGAGTGGTAAGCTAACTGAATGGAATAGTGGTGAAACCCTAGCAAGTTTGAATGCTTTTCTTTGATTGTGGAATAAAAAAGATGCATGAAACAATCTGTGCTTGCTCTTGCAGTACAGAGGTGTAAGAGAAGGGAAAGAAAGCTGTTGGAATTGCATCACCTCCAAACCTCTGTGGACCCAGTCTATTTGCTTTGTTTTTCTGATCTGTCCTAACAAATACAGCTGATTAGCTGCTGGGTGCTGTTACAGAAAACAGTGCTGATGTTATGCTGAAAATTCTGATAAAGAATAGGAATAAAATGTTACTTGAACTTAAAGTTAGTTTGCGTAAACTTACGTAAGCTTTTATTATAATTTCTTTGCAAATATCACTTGCTGTTCTAGATGGTGGTGACAGACGTGTATAATCATCGGTTCCACAAAATCTTCCAAATGGATGAAGGTTTAAATCATATCATGCCAAAAGACGACATCTTTGTGTGAGTAAAGTGAGAAGATGCCATGGTGTGAAGAGTGCTACAAAACATTGTTTTGGTTTCAGGATATAAAACCTGATTACTCCTTTTTTTTTACCTTTTCCCTCTCAAATATAAGCCTTTCTGTAGACCTTTTACATGATTTAGCAGTAATGCAGCACTTCTAGCTGCAGATCGGCATGTGTGGTGTTCAGTGTTTTCCTAATGCAAAGGAAGTCGTGGCCCTGGGTAACAATGAAGTTTGTGTTTGCTCTGTGTTCTGCAGCTTGGAACTTTCTCCAAGTTTTTTTTCTGAGATGGTGATCTGGATGTCTGGATTACAGTTAAACTTTCCCTGGCATTATTAGGCAAGCTCAAGCTTACTGTTATTATGCTTCAGATGGGCCAAAAGCCTTGGAGCTGTTACTAGCATAGTGTGAAGTTTAAGCTGTTATACTCTGCCTTTGCAAAAACCATCATAATAGTTACAGCACTCAGCTAACCATGACTGGAGGTTCTTGGTAGACTCTTGACTGATGCTTACACTTTTTGTGTCTTAACTGTAGTTTTTGAGGAATTTCAGCAAAGTTGAGGGTTAGGTTGTGGTTGATGTTTTATATATGTGTGGTGGATGGGATGGTATGTCTCCAGTCACCTGTGAAATCTGGTGAGGAAGGCAAAAAGTTGTGTTCCTCTGTTGGAGCTGGAAAATGAAAAACGTTGCACATGAAGTGCAAAATAGTCTTTGAGGCTCACACCTGAACCTAGGACTTGAGGAGGTCAAATCCAGCCCTTCATCACAAGTCCAGTCTTCCTCATGTGAGAATAATCCAGTGCAAGGATGTTGCTTCCATAAAATTGTGCCAGTGTAAAGTCCTGCACTGATAGGCTCTGGCACAGTGTGTACCTTTCACTGAGTGGGGTGCGGTAACATACTGCTTGGTGCTGTTCTGTCATGCTGTCTGTTGTCACCTCGTTCCTGAGGTGTAGTATCTGAGTTTTTCAGCAAGTTCTTGGAATGTTGTTCTCTTCAGCTGCAGCTAAAGGTGTGGCATGTTAGGATGCCATGGAAGGACCTTTGGCTTCTGTGAAATCTGTTTTGTGAGGGTATTGTAAAGTGTTAGATTGTGAGTAAGTCTACCTCCAAAGCTGGTAAAAGAATCAAGAAGTGTGATATTACAATGGTAATTACAAAACTACTCCACTTTCTTACAGGCATAACATGTTGCATATCCCTCCACAGAAAACAACTGTGTCTGAATGAGGTCTGCTCTGGGTTAGGAGGTGAGGAGCACTGGCTGAACAGCAGTTCCACGTATATTTTCCTTTGCAGTCATCATTTCCTTTTATGTGCAGGCACAACTGTAAATGAGGTGATGCTGTGAGTCACAGTGAAATGAACTGGGTTAAAAATAACCCTCCAAGCAAGAGAGGGAGTAGCATGAGGAAATTTTGGTAATTGTGTTTTTGCATGTACACCCTCTAATATGTTTTCAGCACTGTGGGGCAAGAGCAAGCAACCAGGCACCAGGGCAAGAATTAGGAGAAATCTGCTCATAGGAACTCCCTTTAATAGGTGATGCTGCCAGGAAAAAGATATGTAAAGTAATATTCTAACCTACAGTTTAAAAAACAGCATTATTTTATTGAAAGGGAGTCTTGTCTCAAACACAACAGAGAAATGCTTGTTCATAAAGAGTAGAACTTGCTATTTAAAGGCAAATGCATATTACTTTTATTGCTGGCAGTCTGCTTACTTTGGTTATAACAAGTCTGCTCATAGGTGTTCTAAGATTTAATTCAGTCATGCAAGAAATGGTAACAGTAGTGTGAAGGTTCTTAAATTACACTCTGTTTCCATCTATTAAGGTCTTGTATCTGCTGAAGCGAGTGTGACAGGAGGGATTGACAGTATCAGTTCTGTGTTAAGATCAGTACAAGGTGGGATTGGTCAGGGTAGGTCTTCATTTTGGTATTTCTGAACTGCAGGTATGATTCTTTAGGGATTTTTACACTTTTGCTGTTACTTACTTACAGAGCCTGAGGTGAGCAGGCGGTGATACTGTAGTGGAACTAAGAAACTTTGACAGTTGTCACTGAAAGGATGTGGTTGAGTTTGAGACTAGGTTCACTGGGCTCTTGCAAACTGATGACATTAGGGGTGTGCTGAAGGTTTTTTTTTTTTGTTACTGCATGTGTTTTTATAGTATTTTTCTTAAAATTATTATTTTGATTTTAATTTTTCCTTGCAGGAAATGTTTTTGCTTTTTATTTAGCCCATGGTCTGAGAAATCCTTGGAGGTCTCTGTGAATTGAAGCTCTTATGCTGAAACTGGCTTCTATAAGTTTTTTCAGGCTTTCTAAATCTTAGTCTAAGATGGTTGAGTAACACTCTGCATTTGTTCCTGCACCTTAGCTGGTTGATGTAACTGCAACTAGAAGGTAACTTGGGTCAGGGTACAGGGCAGTGTTCTAGTAACTCTTTCATTTTCTGGCATGGAGTCCAGTGTTGCTTTGCACATGGCTGTCCTGTTGGAAATGGCTCAAGAGCGGGGTTGGGGCAGATTAAACAAGTTTCTCGAGTGCTCCTCAAGCTGTTACGTTTCTGGCAGAAGTTATCAGTGGTCAGATCAGGGCTTGCTGCCTTCCTGAAGGTGCTGTGTGACGCGTATGGTGTTTGTATGTTCAGATTGATGCTGATGGCAACTTAAGGAGTTTCTGATACCCCAACAATTTACCTTCTTAAATTACAGCCAAATATCTTGCTGTTTATAAAAAAAGAAATAAATCTTTTTTGGAATCTTCCCACTTTAAAGAACAAACTTGCTTCCACTTGAAACTAAAAATCTGTGACTGAAATAATGTATAGTTGAGAAGCATTTTGTTTTCCTAAAGTCAACTACAAAGACTTGAGTGCCCACTAAAAAGCATTTAGTTCTTTTGGCTTTAATATAAGGCCAGTTCTTTAGAGAGGTGTCAGGAAAAGACTTGCTTCTTATGACCGGAAGGGTGGCTCTATGTGCCTCTGTAGGCCACAAAATGTTCAGTTTGGACAAGATCCTTTTGTGCTGGCTGGTGACATAGCTGTGGGGTTGTATCACTAGTTACACAGAGTAATGTGTATCTCTTCTGTTCCTGAAAGAAAACTGTCTTTATATTGATTAATGAAGGGGAACAGCTGCCTTTTATTCAAAAGCATAACTGTAATGTTTTATAGTGACCCATATTTTCACCCAAAATTCACAATTGAAATAAATAACCAAACAAAGACTTAATAAATCAGTCTAACTCGTCAAAAGTTTATTTGCACTTCATTTATACTGGTTATGCCACAAAATAAACTCCTAAGGAAACTTTCTAAAGCAGTAAGTTGAGCTGACAAAATAGTGCAATTGATTTATAAGCAAGGAACCTTTTGGAAGCTGCTTCCCTACCATGTTTTGAAAGCATAAGTTTTCCTAAGATTTGTTTGAATTACTTTATTGCCTTGTGTACTGAGACTGGAACGTATCAGCTTCTCTACTAGAACAGAGGTTACTGAAAAGATGATGTTTTTAATAGCATTACTGATGTTACAAATCCATTAGGAAAATGTCATCATTTCAGGATTTTGTGCTCACAGTGTAGCAAAGCTGAGTAAGAGGTATCAGACTGGAGAGAGATCTCTGGTAATTGTGGTGCTTTTTGCAGGGTGTGTTCTTGGATACTAAATGTTAACTAGATGTATTTGAAGTTGATATATAATAAGCAACCTGGGATGTGAGTGGGGACCATTAGTTAATAGTTTGTATTTAAATGGGGAGTTTTCTAGAATTAAAACATCTCTTGTACTTAAATTAGCATGATATTCACTGTCTCGTACTTGAACTCTTCCCTAATTCATGTTTTATTGATTCCATCAGTTTCATACACTGACCATCTGTTCTTATTTTCCAGTAATGTCTAGTGGCAAGACTTCCCTGTTGGCAAACTATTATGTAAATGTCACTACTTATTTTAAGTAATTGAAGTTAGACACAAAGTTTCTTTTACTGGATAGAAAATGAAGTGCAAAGAAGTAAGCAATTAAAAATAGAGTTAAATTAGTCCAGTATATTCAGAAATAGTTTGCCTGTATATACATTCCCCAAATGTACATTTTAAAATTGTAGACTTGTCAGTAGGTCCTATTGATTTTGAGGTGTTTTCCTGAGAGATTTTGATGGCTAGTCTTGTCATTTGGGTTTGCTCACAGGTCTTTTCATGTGTTCCTTTTTGACAGCCACACTTAGAGAATTCTGGGAGAAGCTGTTATAAACTGAAGCCAGCATCCGTCTGTGCCTCCTGCTAGTGTTTAAATAATGGTGTAAAAATTTCCTCACCTGAAAAGTTCTCTTTCCTTCCTCTGGGAAGCAAAACAAGGTTGTGTTAGTAATCATCTGTGGTTGTTTGCTAGTCTGAAAATGCAGAGAATGAGTGCGTGGTGATGGAGGGAGCTACAAGGCCTCCAGGCTCTGGTTTTGTGAACAGTTGCCATCAAATTGTTCCGTTGTTCCTTGTTCTCTTTGTCCCCATCTTAATGGGCCTTTGTGTGGAGTCCAGTAGATCTTCCAACTGTGATCAGCTAGACGACTGTCTTCTGTAACAGAAATCAGTTGCTTCAATGGTTCTGAAGCTTTAGGGTCTTGAAGTAATTTAAACTGGCAGTTTTTGCTTTCTGTACGTTTATTGGTGTCGCCTTAAGTTGCCTCGGGACTGAAAAATTTAACTATAAATGGTCAATCTCTTGCAGTATTTCTCCAGCTTTGCTTTGTTGAAAGCTATAGCCAGAGCTGGGCCTCCATATGACAACAGTATCCTCATTGGTCTGATAGGTTTCTGATTTTGGAGTTTGCACGCTAGCCAGCTAATAACGTACGTCTTCAATTCAGAATTCAAGGAGGAATCTAATTCTGTAGAAGATCTGTGCCCCAGCAGGGATGTGATTGGAAAAAAAGAAGTACTTTTGTATTGTTGTCTTGCTTTCGACACCAATGTCTGTTAAGTCTCAGCTTTTGATTTATGGCTTTGTATTGCTTGATTACTGAGCAGAATACTGCTTCAGTTGTAAATGTCACTGAGCAGGAACTCACACAGCAGGTTGCAGTAGGAGTAGCATAGTTGGAATGTGCTTTATTGTTTTTTTATTTGCTTGACAGAGGACATAGTCTGCAGGCACAGGTGTTGTAGTTACAGTGTACTACAGATAAATATTTGTGAAACATGCAGTATGTAGTTTGTATAGAGTATTGCACCTTTTTTAGGTGATTTCAGTGGCAGGAAAAGCTGTATTTTTGGTCTGGTTTTCACCATAAGGATATGAGGGAAGACATGTTCAGCCTTCTGTGATTTTTGCAAGGTGTCTTGGACCTCATGAGACATACATTGTGAATTGTTATGTCCCAAGTGGTAGGAGGTGCTGATTCTTGGGGAGGTGGGGTGAGGATCAGACTCGTTTGGAACATATATTGACTACAGAGTAATCTGAGGGGAAGAAGGGGAAGTCTGCCCTGCATGGCTAAGATATATTTTCCCTTTCAGCTCCTCAGTTTCTGGCTTATCAGTTCTTGTGGTATATTACCTGGCCTTTTGTGCTCTCTGATAGTAAAATTTCAAAAAGAAGAAATGTCAATGTTACTGGGCTTCTTAAGTGACTTCAACTCAGATGTATCCCAAAATGAACCTGACTCCTTTTACACAAAAGGACAAAACTATACATTTTCTTCTGTAGGTCACCTGAAAGCGAGGAGAATTTGGGCCTAGAATTCTCCAAGCCTGCACTTTCGTGAGGCTTTGGATTCACCCATTTCTCATTATGACAGGTGTAGAAATTTAGTGTAGTCCTAATAAAAGATATGTTAATATTTAGCATCAGATAAGAGGCACGATGCTTGTAGCAACAAAGGTGTTTGATATAAAACTTGAATCGATATCACTGGCACTATGTGTAGGGGCAGTGCAGCCAAAGAACAGTGGGACTAGCCCGCTTCTCACAGTGTTGTAAATGTTCCTCTCAAGGCATGTTGTTCCCAGGAAAGGACAGGGAGATCGGTGGCAAATGGTCAGGAAGTCACTTCCATAAAGGTGGTCTGCAAATCAATTTGACGATGTTAGCTCAGTGTTTGTGCTGAATGCTCTCATTCTCCAGGCTAATCAGAGAACAGCATTCAGCACATAACCAAAACGCTTACTGTTTCTTTCTCTTAGGTTCTGGGAAGCCCAGCCCCACTAGGACCTCCGGCTCCCGCTCCAATGTAACACCCTCCCATGCACCATGCTGGTGATGTCACATCACCCAGGGATCCTGCTGGAGCTCGGAGCCGGCCTACAAGGGGTCAGGTAAGCACCACTCAAGAATGAACTCCACAGCCCACTTCGAGGGTATCACTCCCTGCATTTCTTCTTAGTTCGGAAGGCCTAAGAAGAAAAATGTTTGGATGGATAAACTAGATACCCTTGTTCTCTTAGCCTGGCTAATGGGGCATGTGTGTTGTTTGCGTTGATAGTTTCACAAATTGATTTGCAGGTCACCTTTAACCTATAAAAGTGTGCATAGTTGAACAAGACATATTTAGTTTGCCATATATACCATGCTTTCTGCCTTCTCTTACAACATGCTGTATATTCTTTAGATGAGTTCATGGTCTCGAGAAACCATGACTGGCTGAAGAAATGTCAGGTTGGTTAACTTGACCAAGGCTACAACAATTACTGAACTTAATTCAGCAAACCAGCTAGTCCAGTAGTTTTGTATGGAATGTTTTAGATGGGTGAGACCTTGTTGCAGACTGATGTAGGAAGTTTGTTCTTGCTTGCTGGAATTGGTGTTTTCTTGTCTGAAATAAGGGGTTTGTGTCCTTTCCAAAACGAGCTTGTATTTTATGAGCTTTTTAAAAATCTTGCTGGTTGAATTCCCTCATCCTTTTTTACCTTGCTTCGGTGTAAGACTGGCAAAATCCTATGACAGAATTTTATGGGGCAAACAACCCATTATCTGAAGAAGTAACATTTGCGGTTTCTTACCTCCTAGTTTACTTGTTGTATGTGTTCTGGCATCGTAAAAGAGATTAGTAATATTTCCGTTACCTAGAAAAGATCAGGAATACATGCAGCGTTTTCACCCAGTTTTTTTCAAGTCCTCTATTCATTCTTGTTGTCAGCTTCTGAACCTATTGTAACTTCACAGCAGCATCTCCGCGTTGGTGTGCAGTGGTAATCCTGTTCAGATGGATCTGTGTGTCAGCTTCTGCAGTGGCATTTTCTGCACTTCTCTGTTCTCTTACAAAACATACTACTTTTTTAGTTGTTGCTACAGACTGACTTGTCCACATAGTGTTTGCCGAGTGGAGAAATTTATCATAAATAGCAGCACTTGGGGGGTATGTTTCAGTAGCATGCAACATACAACATACATAATAGCCTGGTGTTCAGCTCAGAGCATTTTTTGCTTTCAGTGCCTGTAGTTTTCGTGTAGCTCTGCCTTGTCTTTCTGTAGCTTTTCGTGCTCCTGTGCACTTGCTTAACTTTAGTTTGTAAGGGAATGGAAGTTATGTACTTCATTGCTCACTGCCTCCTTTCCAGATTATAACCACAGATCTTCAGGCCTTCATAATCCTCAATAAGACTGGTCAAGTCTTACCCTATTGCTTAGCAGTTTTCAGAGTCTTTTCAGAGTTGTCATGAATGATAAAGACAAGGAGTCAGTATCCAGCTGTGTGGTGGCAGCTGAGCCAATGACTGACATCAAAAACCATGTTGTGTAGTCTGATGTAGCATCATTTTTGTGTTCTATTATTTCCATTAAGTTGTAAAATATAGAATTACAGGGCATTATCAATTTTTAATCAGTTATCTATTAATTCCCATTATTAGATCTATATCCCTCCTTAAACTATAAAGTATCTTAGGTTTTTTTTTTTTTTTTCTTAGAGATGACTGTTGCTCAAGAGATTCAGGAAATGACAGATCCTGATTCTGATACGTCTGCCTCTTAGTACTAGTATGTAAAAGCTGTTCCGAGGTGGAGTGGGTAGAAGGGCACTTGAGTAACTAAATTAGTTACATTTCAATGAGAAGTGTGAGATGCTCTTTTGCAGAGTGTTTTGGAGAGTGTACAGTATGCCGGCTGCTTGTGACAGATGACAACTGCCTATGGGTAATACTCAGCTTTTCCTTTCTGTCCCATCTGTTCCATCACATGGACAGGGCTTCATCTAGGTGCCCAAAGGTGGAATATAGATGAGGGCTGTGTTAGTTACTGCTTGGGGAGCGCAGTGTAGGTGGTGTGAGAGGCAGTCACAAGAATGTCAGGGAACATGTGCTTGCTGTGTACTGATCTGTTTTATAGCAGTGTCATTAGGACCTGGGGTTCATTGTAGGTGATATTCTGGGACCCAGGTATGGTCGTTTGTTGTTTAAATAGTGCTAGGTAAAATAATTCATGTCTTTGTGGTGCTGTTTCTCAGGAAACCATTAAATGTGGACTGTATCCATTGCTAGTGTCCAGTTGAACAGCACTGACAGCCTAGAAAACATCAACAGCCATTTGTGATGGGCTGTCTTACTCTGACTGATCTCTGATGGTCTTTGTGGGTTGGGACTCTCTGGAAGGTTATTTTTCTTCATGTACTCTGCTGACTCAGTACAAGCCCCAAGCTGGGATCCCTTTGGGTTTAAGTAGGATGGAATGAAACTACAACTCTGAAATTTGTTCTTCTGCCTGCTCTACAAGGGCATTTTGAACACGGGAATTAAAATGTTTCTTGGCTCTTGAGAGAAGGGAAATGGCTTGTTTAATATAAGAGAGCTGTTATGAGTTGGTACATTCAGATACGCGATTGTGGTCTTGATCGTTGTGCATAGTGACATCTTCCATGAAATCTTTTCTTTCAGTTTCTAAGATAAGTCTGAAACAGGTGACTTGCCAAATTAAAGAACAGTGTGACTTGGCATTCCTGAAAATGAATCTTTTGTCATGAGTAGCCCTGAAGTGAACACTGTGATAGTATTGGACCATGTGGTTTCTTTTGATCGTGACATCTGCAAATACCTCATTTGCCGTTTTGCCCTGTAGCGCAGGCTGTCTCAGTCTCCTCACTGTTCTCCAGAGCTGTTTGTTTTCTTCCAGAATGCTGGTTTGTTTTATGTGTGTGTTTACTGTCCTTGCGTTTTTCTGTGAAGCAGAAGTTTATAAACTTAGTTTTCTGAAGGGTAGGTTCCTCAGTGGTACAAGCACAGGCCATTAACTGTACGAGAGGCTGGGAGAATGCAAGACCCAAGCTGTCAAGAGGGTTTCTTTCTCCAGAGAGAACAAACATTGTGTGAGGGATTTCAAAGTGTATTTAGTATTCTTCAGTCAGGCTGGGATCTGGTTGAAGCAACATGTGGTTGTCAGGGTAATGTCTTGAGAGGTGAGTAGCAGCAGAGGTGTGAATTAGGGATAGAGACAGAGGGAAGGTGGCAGTTGAGCTGGTAGGAGCTTTGCGTCCTATGCCATTCTGAGCTGTGGAAAATATTCAGGAGACTTCTCTGTAGCATGAAGACAGAGTACTACCCTTTTTGTCATTCTTGGGATAACCTAGTGGAGAGACTTGTTAGATGGAGTTCATATTGGTTCTGCCTGCTGTGCTTCTTGGCAGTGGAAGTAACCTGAGGAAATATCTGTCTCTCAAACAGGTATGAAGTTTGCAAGCCGAGTGAGGACAGCTCAGAGTATGTTACTCTCTCTGTTTACTTTCGGGAGAAGACAGTGAGGCAATCCAGCAATACTTCAGGGACTGTGCTCTTTGGTCAGCCACTATTAATATCTGTGCCGAAACATAAGCTCACTGTGGATCACCTGTACAGTGTGGTTTTGGAGCAGATCGGGTAAGTCACATCTCTATCTTTGAATCCTATTCAAAGTTCTAGTGGTCGCTTATTCAGCTACACTGTAACAGGATGACTGCATCCTTGGTGATGAGAAGAATTTTCCTTGATTTATGTTGCATACAAACCAGGATTTGCATGGCATTAGTGTCTGGAGGCCCCAGGGACATTCCAGTGTCCTGTTTCTGGGGCTCTGTAAAAGCAGACTGGAAGATAATGGTGGTGACAGTCACAAGGGAAGCTGTCTGCTTAGCATTGCAAGCGAAAACTTGAACCACATTTTCAGGGCTCTCAGATGGACCACCATAACTTATTTTTGCCTTTTCCATCTACTGCCAGTAAAACTCGGAGCAAGCAGTTGAGAACAGTGACTTACTGAATTGTTCTTGTTGGACTCATTCTGAGAGCTCTTATCTGTAAATGGTGCTGTATGGGTTGGGTTGGTTTGCTGAGAGGGGTTGGGCAGCATAGACTGATGATAGAGAAAGGGATGCTGTTGTTCTGATGAACAGCTTTGGTATGATTGTGTGATAAACATATTCTCTCTTTGTTTAGCCGCTATGTGAAACTCCCTTTGGCAGAAGAGTACTCTACCCCCTGCACAGACAAAGGAACCTGCAGTGGCTCAAATGGTGTGGTTGAAGGTAAAGTCCTTGCAACATTGGCTGGAAGCTTTTCAGCACTTGCAGCTTTTTATGAGCATTTGGGTTGTACTGTGTGTATTTGACTTAAGCTCTAGCAGATTGTTCTTTCACAATGATTAAACCACACTATTGCATAGGATGACTGCATGATACGGTGCGAATTCTTGTAGACCATTTTCCTTCCAAGTGAGATGAGATGTGCGTAAGCAGCAGCAAGAGTGCAAGGTGTGGTGTACATTCATGTTGACCAATGTGAGGGAAGTCCTTGCTTTCCTATTTAGGTGTTTGGGTGCCTCCCTCCAGAGGCAGCTCCTTTCCTAATAATGCTCTTTGGCTCGATGAAAACTGGCCTGTTAAGTCATAAAGACAAATTCTGGAGAAGTGGAAGTGGTGTTTTGTGTTCATGGCCCGAGAAACACAAGGTCTTGTTCCTAGGTTAGACGCTTAAAAGAAGGCTTTTAATGCTGATTGCAAATGCATGTTTCATTTCCTTTTTGAAATGATTCACTTGTGCTACTGTGAGTAACAACTGGAACAAGTTAAATGGAAATATTAATTGGGGAAAAAAGAATCTGCCCATTTTTCCCCCAAAATGGAAATAACTTTCCTGGAGATTTACACATTCCCTTCTGTAAAGACACCTGACTGCAACCTTGCTGATTCTCTCTTGGGGTGTTTTATTCGGGTGTGCTCTCAGAAGGTGTGATTGTTAACCTAATATGAACTGAGCATTGTTCATCATGTCTGATGCTAGGGTGTAAAGTCCAACACATTACCTGACATCTGCTAAAGGAAAAAAATCAACTTCAGATGTGGTTGGCAAGCTGATTTTTATTTTTTTTGTGTGTGCATCTTTTAATTTCTTTCTGAGTAATCAGTCTGTTGTAACAGGCTTATGTGAACAGCTGTTCATGTGAGGTGTCAGTCTGAACTTTCACTGAAGCTCTTCAATACTGTGCTTGTTTTAAATTTTGACAGGTGACATTGAAGAGATGGAGCATCAGGATGGCGGAGAGGAAGGCAAGGACAAGCTGGCAGAAGCTGATCCCTGCCACTCTGAGGGTTGTATGCAGGTTGAGTCAGCAAGAGACCTGCAGCCTTGTAAGAAGCAGCATTTCACTTTTAGCCTTGTGAATTCCTCTGGGACCTCTGAGATAAACTCCATTGTAGAAGGAAAAATCTTAAAACTCAATGGTAATTATTGTCTTGCCTTTTTTTTTTTTTCCCTTCTCTTTGTTCCTTTGCAATAAATGGTGTTTTGTTTTTGTGTTTCTTGTAGCTTTTTCTGCACTTGCTATTGACTGGGATTCTGATACACGGAGGCTACTTTTTGATGAACAGGAGGCACAGGTTGTAGTATGCTCTATTCATAAACAATCTGTATGTGAATGTGCATGGTACTTAAATGATGACAATAAATGATGACATGTAGGTGTAGCTCCTATAATAAAAATTGGAGTCACCAGCATGAGAGATGTTTGCTTTAAGTCTTCTAGTGACAAGATACATAGTTCTGTAACTGCTGATCTGTTTCCAGTGTGTTCTGAAAAGTAGATGTTTTAATTTCAAAGCTAAGTAGTCTAGTTCATAGTGCACTCAACAAACCAAACCAACCAAACCCCCAAAACTCTAAAGAAACCAAGCTCACAAAGCCTAATAGAAAGCTCAGTGTTCTTTCTGCCAGAGTCCTGTTGATTGTGTTTTGTAACAATAATTTCTTGCTACTCTTTGCCCCCCCAAAAAAGGCAAAAACCAAACCCTAAATCCACCAACTTTGAAGTAAGGACACACTGTATTACTCTTATGGACTGTTTGTACCACAAGAATGAGTGTTTGGCAGCTCAAGATGATTGGGGGGAGAAAGAGGGTGGACGAACAGAAATTAGGCAGCATGGTGAAGTGTGTGCCTTTCTGTGATGTCAAGGATTAAAGACTGCATGGAATTAAATAAAGAATTCATCTCTTCCACTAGGCATTTGAAAAACATGGAAGTATGTTGCAGCCACAGAAGAAGAAAGCTGTGGTAGCCCTCAGAGACTGCATAGAGCTCTTCACTACTATGGAAACACTTGGTGAACATGACCCATGGTAAGAGCTTCTGTCTGCCTGCCAGGTTTATTGTAAAATGCCACATTATTTGCCATGGGAATCTGATAATTTCCCAGGTCTGTCCTTTTGTATTCACCTGTGAGAAGTCTGTCAGTTCTGTTAAGTCACTAACTTGATAGGCTGCAGATGTGGGTTAGTGAAAAGCATTTGCTTCTTGCCTTTACTATAAAGAAAACCAAAAAACCAAGTCTAGCAGTGGGCATGTAGCTTCCAAAGATCAAGCAGTGTTTAATTCCCCAGCATATATGTGTCTTTCAGACTGTGTCAGAGGAAGCAGTTGGGGTAATAAAGGGTCAAAGCATATGGCTACCTTCAGGTTTAATCCCCCATTATTTTTTTTTCTAGCTTGAACCAGTCCTGACCCGCAGATCCTAAGTGACCAAAGTGTGATTACTGTGTGTGCAGGAGATCTTACGATGTTGCTTGCTAGCTGTGTAAGAAAATAACTTGTAGTAGGTGTTAGTTTATTGTTAATTTCCCATTGCATGCTATAGGTGTTTTTGCAACTGTTACCTGTTTGAGCTGGGTCAGGCGATAACAATTAGCAGTGGAACCTTTAAGCCATACTTTTATTTGCAAAAGACTACTGTGCTGTTGAGGCGTTTCTTAATGGGAGGCCAGAAGCTTTTCATTTAATGTAGTCTTTCATTTCCTTGTTTGTTACTCCTTCCACAGGTACTGCCCTAACTGTAAGAAACATCAACAGGCCACAAAGAAGTTTGATTTGTGGTCTTTGCCCAGGATTTTGGTAGTGCATTTAAAACGTTTCTCATACAGCAGATACTGGAGGGATAAACTTGACACTGTTGTGGAATTTCCTATCAGGTAGGATTCTTCCCTCAAGCTAGGAAGAGCCTGGTCGAGAGAAATCTCCCAGTGTTACTGGTGGGGCAGGCTTGTTATTAAAGCTGTAACTGGAACAGCTCTATGTTCTGGGTTTCAACTGCAGTACAGCAAGCATGAGTTGAGGTGGTGGTATTTTCCTTTTTGTTAACCTTAATCAGCTATGCACATCTCAAAGAACACTACTTGCCAGCAGGTGCTATTTCTTCTGAAATTAGGATAAAACCATGTGATTCTGCTGAACCAAAAGAACTTCTAGAGAGCAAATTTGTTGGGCAGAGCTGCACTTGTACTGAGGATTGCACAAGTACAAGTGAAAGCCTTCCTCATTCCTTTGCTGCTGCTTGACAGCATCCTGCTGCAGGATGAAGAGTATTCTTTACTACTCCTGTCTCACTTTTCAGACATATGCAGGGATACTCTGAAATGTATTTTATTCAGCACCTCCCTCTGAATCTTTTAGCAGCACTTGATGGGGATCTGCCCTGTGTGGGAGGGCTAACATATTTTGTCTTTAATAATATCTGGCTGTAGACCAGCAGAGTGCAGTCCTTCTCTACCCATGTGGCTTAGCCTGTAGAGCTTCATAGGTATCATGCATCACTTTTTAGAAAGCACTGGTTACTGGTGTACTGATACTTCTGGTTTTTGTTTCAGGGGTTTAAACATGTCTGAATTTGTCTGCGACCCAAGAGCAGGCTCCTATATCTACGACCTCATTGCAGTTTCCAATCACTATGGAGCCATGGGAGTGGGCCACTGTGAGTAACTGCTTCTGTGTTCTTTTCACACAGGAAATGCAGGCAAGAGGGGTCATGAGAGAGCTCTGTGCATTGGAGACCTGCAGGAGCCCTCGCCAAGGGTGTCTGGACAAAACTTATCTGTGTTCTGTATTTGGAGGTTGTGTCCTTCCCATTAGGATTTGCAGAGCAGCTGGCCAGTTTGTGTAGTCTGCAGCTGCACAAGATCTGGCTCTGGTGCCTGTGGGACCTTGGTTATAGTAATCTAAAGTGTGTGGTTGTGTTCCTTGGTATATGAGTGGAGTCAAGATTTTTTCAATGCCAAATGTGAAATTGTGGAAAGGAGCTTGACTGGTGAGTGCTGGGGAGAGTGTTCAGTGTAACCTGTCAGCTCAGCTCTAAGACTTAGCCTCTTGCTCTTAATCATGCTAGAGGGCGGCTGCTTGTCCAGTGTGGGTGCAGTGTCACAGAGCAGAGATTGCCTGCAGCCAAGCAGGAGCTTGCCAGGTTCCTCAGTAGTGGAGAGGCAAGGTCTGGTGAGCAGGAACTGTGCATAGGCCAGGAAGACAGAGCAGAGGATATGCTTGTCATGAAGTGGTTTACTGTGAGAGGATGATGAACCCTATTCATTTGGCAGTTTATGTGCTCAACTTAAGGGTATGCCACTGTAGAATAGCATTAGCTGAAGAGGGATGTGGTTTGAGATTGGAGATCAGTCACTGAAGTCTTTGTTGGAAGAAACTTTGTAGGACTTTAATCCAGCTTCCTTCTTGAGTCAGGAATCTTGTGGTCAGATCCATCATCAATGGAAAACTTCTCTGTCATCTGAAAAATGTGAAAATGCAGTCTTAAACTGCTTGGGAAAGCTCTGGCTCAAAGGGGGTGAACAAAACACTGTAGTTTCTTTCCTCAGTTTCTTTGCCTTGTATCTCTGATATCAGGGATCAGTCTGGCATGTGGAACATGGTTCTGGATTTGACAGACCGGCTAGCATTTTCTAGAAGTTGTATATATTGATGAGCTAGGTTTGGGGTAGTTAATGTTAAAGCTGGCTCCTGACCTCCCATGCACAGTCAGTTTGAGTCTTGAGCAGCGCAGCTGGCATGGCATTACCTGCCAGTCCTCACTGGAGCACTGAGGTGCAGTTTCTTCTCCTGACAGACACTGCCTATGCAAAGAACAAAGTGAATGACAAGTGGTACTATTTTGATGACAGCAGTGTATCAATGGCTTCAGAAGACCAAATAGTGGTGAGTATTTGGCCTGAGGCCAGTCCTGTGTTTGTGCTCAAAGTGTAGTTCCCTGCTTTGGGCATTATGTTTCCAGCCAGGCTATGTGGATTGTTTCAGGTGGTTTTCTTCTTTGTTTGGTAGACAAAAGCTGCGTATGTGCTGTTTTATCAGCGCCGAAGCAGTGAGGAACATACTACCCCATCTCCTCCCCAGGAAGAGTATGACGGCATGGATACCAACTAAGCATCACCTCCAGCACTCAGCCACCACATTAGCGGTTGCTCTTCTAAAGCCATGCCTGAGGCACCTGAAATTTTTTCTTCCTTCTTGTAGGAGTCAAGCAGAAAATCTAGCGCTGAGAGATTGTGTGCTGGGGGTTGCAGAGTAGCACTGGAGAGCCAGGTACTGATACTTGGGTATTTAGAGGCCAAAAATAATATATATTGGAGCTTCAATAAAATTACTTTTAAAATCTGGCTGAGCTGTATGGCTAGAGGCAGGGGCCAGGGCTGAGCTGGGGCTGTGGCTGAGAGTTGCAGCTGAGATTGGGAGAGCACAGCCTGAGCTGGAGGCCAGCTCACAGCTGAGCCTTGTGGGGGCCTGGGGAGCAGTACAGGGGATATGATTCTGTGAATCAGTGTGGGGGTTTCCTGCTGGCTCTGGTGTTGGTGCTGGGTCATGCTGGTGTCAGGGCAGTTTGCTGCACCCTGCCTGAAAGCTCAATTCAAATCTCTGTACATCTGGCCTGTCCATTGCGGTCTCTGCCATTGTACCTTGGTCACCTTGCGAAGCAGCAAATGTTTCTCTTTCTTGTGACCCTTCACTGATATATCTAAGGCTTTTCTGGGCAGTTTTGACTGCCTCTTTCATGTGAACACTGAATCCTGTAATGTAACAAACTTTGCTGGAAGCAGATCATACCTGCCTATAGTATGGTATGTGTGCAGGTTGATCTACACAGTGACACAGGACACAGCTGCTCTGCCTCCCATTCTTCTGCAGAGAAAATGTCATATTTTCGTGGTTGGACAACTTCTTCTCTTCATCCATCTACACCCCTTGCTTCCAGGCTGCTCTGTAAGCACTTTTTGCCTCTACCACTACGATTTGTGCAGTGGCAGTGTTCTTACCCGCCTTTGCTCATTTATGTGACTTTTTAGAGCTTTTTCTCCAGCAAAGCTCAGCAATGTGTCCCCAGAGCTGTCACCTGTGAGGATGACAGCCCAGCGCAATGAATTGTATGAGTTCTCAGCTTTTTCTCTTGTGACTTTTGGAACTTTTTTGACTACTTGTTCAGCCTTTCTTCTCCTCACTTGAGCACTGCCCTTTAGATCCTGCACTCCATCATCTTCTGGGAGGCTGCAGCTGTGATGGTTCTGTCTGAGGTCTCCCTTTGCCTCAGCTGTTCAGTAGTTCCACTCCAGCCTTTTGGTACAACTGACAAATGTTCTTCCCTCTGTCCTCCTTTACCATCTGTGTTACTTGTAGGACACAAGTCCAGCTTTCTTCTTGAATGAGGATCTCTGGTGGGCACTAGATCAGGTCAGTCCTCAATGAAGAACTGGTCTTCAGTGTGAGAAATGGGAAGAATTTAGAGCTTTAGCCTGTGTTTTCCAGGAAAAGATCTTGCTCAAGGTGGTGAACCAGACAGGAGGGTTTTTTGTTTTGGAGCCAAGTGTGTTGACAGAATAAAAGGCTAAGACAGGCTACTGCCCTGCTTTTTCCCCCAGAATGCATGCTTAGTGCCACTCAATCCTCTGTGCACAGTCCCTGTGGCTGCTTTGCTGACAGTGATCTTCTCTTCTGATGGTCAGTGGAACAGCAGTCATCCATTTAACTCCCAGTATTTCAGCTCAGCTCCCTTTTCTGCAGCTCTTGGTGACAAGCCCCATAGGAAGTTGTTGTGTGCTTGTGTCTGCACCTCTGCTGTGCTGCAGCTGAGCAAAGCCCAGTCAGCTACTGCTATGTTCTGCTCTAAGCGATGGGAAGGGAGGAGGGGCACTGAGCAGCCCTTGGCTGGGGCACTGAAAGATGAGAGAAGGGCTGTCTTTAGCTGGCACACTGGTGTTGTGATCCTCTTCTGTGGAATTTTGCTTTTAAAGCATTGGAATTTAAATTTTGAGGTCCTAGTTGCTTCATTGCTTCTGCTGTTCAGGTTTGGGGGTGGTTTGGGATTTTTACAACTCTTCATATTGTATTTCTGTGATTGTTTTTGTTTTTTAACATGTTACTGAGGGGAGCTTCTGAAAAGCAATTTTTAAGCTGTAGCACTGCACTGAATTACTCTTATCAGCATGTTTTTATTCATTTTAACCCTGAAAGAAGACTACATGGGCATTCCAAAATGGGGAGGAGAGGAAAGGGAGGGGGTAAAAGACCTTTCTAAAAGAAAATCTAATCTGAAATAGCCGTTGTTCTCATCCTCATCTCCCCACCTGTGCTGACACCAGCAAACACATCAGTGAGGATAAATCCTTGATGCCCAGATGCTGAACAGACTGTCGTACTGCAGAAAAAGTGGCCTAGCTCTTACTTTCTCTGCCCCTGAGCTGGTGGGCTTTGGCTGGTGTGTGTGTGCTGTAATACCAGACCTGTTTTTTTAGACTAGCACTTTGTAAGTGGCTGGCTCTGTTGTACAAAGATGAATATTAAAGAGTGGTTTGCACTAAAACTGGGTTGTGTATTATTTTCAGCTTCCGTTGTGTGACCTGAGACGGTTGGAAGGTGCCTGGGGATGCAGGAGCTCTTCTGGCTGGGGGAGGGCAAGTCCTGTGAAGCTAACCCCTCCTGCTCTGCCAGGAGGGATTTGAGAGAAAGGCAGCTGTTGCCTGCACTGCTCTGTACACCTTAAAGTTCATGCTCACTTCAGGATTGGCTTTCCTCACGTGTGGTGCTGTGTTACTTGATAACTGGTGCTGTAGCAAAGCCTCCCCTTGCCTTTCGGTGACACTGTGCAGCCTTGGCTGCAGCTTCCATGTTATTCCTCTTCCTCTGCAGATCTCAGGGGAAGCCATGTCTTCCTTCTGTCCATTTTCTCCAGGGGTATCAGGAGATGCTGTCATGGAACTAGTAAATTGAGGCTAAATGCAATGTATTGTTCAAACTCAGTTAAAGCTCCACCAACACAGGAGCCTAATAATAGTTGGAGCCTCAGATAGAGTTGGAAGAGCTGTAATGTAGAACAGCAGATGGTAAGGATTGCTATGGAATGCTGACCTCCCCAGAATGGCATGAAACCCATCATGGGACAAAGGGGAAGGAAAGTGGCATCTCTCGGACTGAAGGTGTTAGGGTGTTGTGTGTCAGTGCAGAACAGCTTATGCAATAATGCTGAGGGAATGAAGTGAAATTCCCATAGCAAAAGAGAGGGAGAAATAACCTGAAACACAAGTTGTATTGTCAGAGAAGCAATTATGAACATTCAGAAAAGAGGTCTTTGAGGCAGAAAAGAACATCCCTGAGCTAAGGCTCCTGTTCAGAGGGGAAATGAATTTGGTAAGAACAGAAAACAGACTGTGTCTTAGTCCTGGGTCAGCTCCTGCATTGAAGAGGGTGTGCAATTTTACCCCCCCAAAAAGGGCTCAAAATACAGAGGTTGGGGGAAATAACAGCCAAAGAGTATGAAAGAGCTTCTGTTTAAGTATTTCCCCAGGTTAGGACTCTTCCCTGGGGCAGAGAGATCTGAAGAGCTCCTGCAGAAGGACAAGCCAGGAGAAGTTGCTTTCTGTTCTCTACAGTCCCAAGAAGATGCAGGAGGCTTAAACTGAGCTGTTTATTTTCCCCACCTAACACAGTAAATGACTGAACAGGGACCAGAGGGAACAGCCAGGCTGTATACACCCCTTGCTGGGTGTATATCCCAGCAGGCAGGAGGGCTCTGTATAGGTGTCTGTAAATGGACTTGGGAGGGATTAAATTAATGGGGAAATAGTCCTTGTATTTGCTGCCTGTGCACAGAAATGCCACCTATGGCTCTCTACTGCCCAGAGACCTCCCAGGAGCTGCTCTGCCCAGGACTGAAAGCAGCAAAGAGGGGACTAGAAGTTGCCCCTGTGACCACCGGTGTGTTCACTAGCAGATTGAGCAGGGCAGGTAAAAATAGCTGGGATTTTGCATCACTGGGTGCAGGCTCAGATACGAGAGGAAGGTTAGCTGTCCTGTGCTTTGCCGCGAGCAAGTGGTGAGTATCTCCCACTTGCTTTTGTTTTCTTCTGAGAAAGCTTCGAACACAAAGTATTATTGCAACAGGAAAGAGAGTACAGAGAGTAAGGCCAACCACTGCTTTCAGAAACTGAATCCTTGTGCTTCTGTTGAAATGTGTGACGTTGTTGCCAGGTCAGTTTTGAATTGCTAACACAATGATGTTCAAAAGCAAATGATACCTACCTGTGCCTTTGCTTAAACACTTAAAACCAGAACCATGGACACTACTTGTGCCCATGAGACATTTTCCGTCTCATGTAGTTTTAAGTTCTTTAAGCAACCTTTTCTTTGTTAGAAATGTTAGATCTTTTCTCCAGCATACATTTCCCAGGAAGAGAAAGAGAATCCCAGCCAGAACCCACACCAAGAGCCTTTGGCTTAAATACAACATCCTTAGTCCTGGGACTCTAATCAAAGTGAGGTAACTGCAGTTCTGAAGATGTTTTCTTTTATTCCCAGCCTTTCTAAAATACATTATGTAGTTGTAAGTAACAGATTTCAAATTGCTTTTACAAGAAGAGATGAAAGCATATTCTCAAATTCAGAAGATGGAGGTCTGAAGTTCTTCCTTAAACATGCCTTCAAAATGGAGGTCTTTTGCCATGAGCTCTTCTTCTACATCTTCTAAGGCCCACTGATGATCAGTCAATTCTAAAGCTTCCCATTCCGTCTGCATTTACAATAAACAGGAAGAGAAAGAAGAGCAACACACTGTTACAGACAAGAACTACACAAAGCAGTGCTTACCCTAAAAACTGCACCAAAACCCAAGTTCTATTAAAAACCTGGTGGCAATCCTGTCAGCTCCCTGAAATCAGTGTTTTACACTTAATTGGGTATTAGATAGTTGGTCAGTACAGCATAGTAATTAGAAAAACAACATTATCTGCTTTTTGAAAACCCTCTAACCTGGAATTGTCCATTTCTCTTAAACAGCTGTCTCTAGAAACAGCCAGTTCTGTTCTGGAGACTCAAGTGCTTTGTGGTTAATTATTTAGTGCAGAGACATTTGATAAAAACAGTTACAGGTCAAAAATTTTGCAACTGATCACAGACTTCATGTGCTTCATGAGACTGTTCTCCAACAAACTATCTCCCTGGACCTGCAGGGCTTTATTCATTGCACAAGGTTTTCACAGCAGCCTAAAACCAGAATTTCATCCTAAATATTAGAATGATGACCCTGCTGCTCATTTTCCACACAACTTTTTGGTAGTTAGCTTCTGCTTTGGAACTAGATCTCGAGAGAAATGAAAAAAGTCTTCCTCTGGCAAAGCAGACAGTGGCACATGAATTCACCTTTTGCATCAGGAAGGTTTACTTCAGGGTAGTGGGGCTCTGTCAGACCCAGGGCAAGCTCTAATTTTAGGAACAGCAAGCCAGAGCAATTCCCCTACTTGACACAGGAAGAGGCCAAGTTACATACAGCCTACCATCCTGCAAGTTCACAGCACCTGGGAATGCAAGGGGGAATATAGTACCTTAAATGCTTTGTTAGTATCTGCTGGCATGGCCATTGCTGCCCCTGTCATTTGTTCTTGCATCACCCTGGACTGATCTGCAGCTGCAAAAGAGAAATGAGAGGCTGATTTTTGTGTCATTTAAACAGCAGGCTCGTTTATAACTGTAGGAAGTTGCAGAAACACAGAAAATAAAACACTAATGTGCCAGAAAAAGTTCTCACAAGACATCTTTTGAGGTCCCTTCCAATCTCTAACATACTGTGTGATACTGTGATCTTGTTCCCACCCCCTACATCTCAGCTAAGTTCACCTTAAACATGCAGGCAAATTAAGGAAAACATGGTCTTCCACATTCCAAATAACCTCCAGAAACAGCATCTGTCCTGCCGTTAAAAAATTAGAAAATCTTTCTGTTTTTCCTTAAAACTGATACTTGCTAAGACTAAAAGCAAGCCTGAGAGCAAAATCTCTGCACATGGATTTGATGTGAAGGAAAACATGGGTCAATTACCATGCAAGTTCATGAGCAGTTTGCCGACAGCTGGTAAAGAAGATTTGGATACTTGCTGCAGGTGGTGTCAAACCTGGCCATAACCTAAGAGTAACCTTGCAGATGTGCGAGAGGCTTTCAAGAGCTTTTTAGCTGGAAATTTAGAAATACTTCCCCAGCCTCCCTCAGAAGTCATCCCAGGGAAGGAGAAACAGCTCTTTCGCAGAAATTATGGTGTCTTACCATTATCTTGGCCAAGGATGAGAGTATAAATGCTTCTGAGTCCAAACACATTCAAGAAGTACCATGAAGCAGAGCTCACCCTGATAAATCAGAACAAGCGTGGTTGATTTCAGCTCAAAGCTGGCTTGTGACCTCATTTCAGAAGCATGCACAGACCATTCAAGGGTTATTAACACATTCAGCATTTTCCAGGTGATGGTTTGACCTTGCTTGCTGAGGACACGGCTTACCAGGACGCATCTAAAGTGAGCAGTTCAATTCCCTGCTGCAACATTGGCTTAAAACGCAGTGTCAGAGGAAATGGGACTTTTGCTGCAGGATGAAAAGAGCCCAGTTTCACAAAGTGATGCTACAAAATTGCAAAGCAAGTAGACAGTGCTTTTATTAAACCTAGTATTTGTATGCATTGCATTCAGACTACATCAGGTTGACATGTACTTTTGAAAAAGTGTTTCAGGGGAATGTCTTTAAGGCAAAACGTACCACCTAAAGAGTAGGAAAAAACCCACCCCAGAACTGTCCATTTAAGCAAGTATTTTTCATGTGTACATCCTGCATTACACAGTAGTTGAGAGGAAAATCTACTGTATCAAGTAGAAGTTTAGGCAGTTTTAGTAAACTTAAATACTGGATTTCTGACTACACTTGTTCCTGCACCCATGAGCTGTTTTCTTGTGACTGTGGCCAGTACTCTGAAAACTCTTTTCCCTCCTTTTGCTATGGGGCAGGAGAATCAGTGCAGCTCATGGAGTGAATAGTGGCAGTACCAAAAGCCACATTCACACTACTACCAGTCGACTGCTTCCAGATGGAGGAACAGATCTTTGATACAGCCCAGACCCTTGAGATCATCATCAGAAACACACCAGACATGTTAGTCCAGATACTTACTTGTGACAAATCCTGAAAATGTCATGTTGATCCAGCCACCGATGAGGATCATAGGCAGAACATTGGTTACATTCCCTTTCATCATATCTGTCAGCATGGTTGGATCTGCAATCACAGATTCGATATGCAGTAGCAGTGTATCGCAATAAAGGGAAACAACATTACTTCACCAAGGTCAACTATTTTAATTAAGAAACTGCATAAGAGGCAACAGTCCTGTCCCACCATCTATCCCAGATCTATGGTGGCTGCTGCTTTCAAAAGGGTGCTGTGTTTCCTCCCATGTCTGAGCCCAGCTGCTGTGCCTGTGTTTGACTCCATCCCTTGCTCCAGATGGCTAAACTTGCTTGACCCCTCTGTAGGCAGACTTAGCCAAAAAAG